AGAACTAACCGCCTCTTTAAATATTGGCGCGTATTGAAAATTTACAGAATTCTTTATAGAATTTCGGTTTAAAATATTTGCGCGGTTGTCACATTTAATTTTCTTTCTTATTGGCTGTATGTGGACATGATATAATTAGAAAATATTACTTAAGTATAAAAGAAATCAGCAACGATTCAGTACCTATTGTTAATTACATTGGTATTTTCCTGTTTAGTTGGCGTCTATTGAATAGACAGTAAATACTATTTAATTGAATGACCAATAACAGGTACACAATTGTAAAAATGTAAATTAAATTTGTTATTATCCATCCTTTTTAGATTAAATTTGTTATTATCCATCCTTTTTAGATCGTCTCCTACAATCAAATTAAAGTGGACAATATATTTCATAAAATGCACTAGCAAATTGGATTTTATGATGAGCATAGCGATTATTGTACAGGAAATTTTGTTTGCTTTAATTTTGTATAGATGCCTACATACGCTGAGTTGTTTAATCATTAACAATCAATCATTACAATGCAATAATCCTTATGTCCTCAGAAAAAAAACATCAGTCTAATCCAATAATCAGTCAAAATATATAGTGCAGTTAAATAATAAATTAATAAATCTGCACCCGTCGAATAAATTTAATTAAATATTTACACGTTATTCTCATTTAAACAATTTAATTAAAAAAATACTCTCGACCCGCATTTTAAGCTGCAGTACTAGCGCGCATCGGTCTCCTAGCAACTAAGCTTCGTACACATGTTTTTCAGTCACCATTGGCTAGCGGAAAAAACACAAGTATATGTATTTAAATTTGCCGCTCAACTTGAGCCACCGCGCATTCTGGTAGTGATTCGTCCATCTAAACGATTGATAATGCAGTGTATCTTCTTATTTTTGAAAACAACATTTTCTTCCACTCCAAATATAGGGTTTCTGGAGCGTTTAAATATCTCCGGAATGCGTGGGTCGATCGGAGTGAAATGTAATGAGATTAAAGGGGACATTAGTCACATCGACTGGTAAAAATATGGTCCAAATCGGCCAAGTAGTTTTTCAGTTCTCGCAAAGAAACCATTTTTAAAGAGGTGGGGTTGCGTTGGTCCACAGATATCATTTTTAACTGATTTGAACCATTTGATCACAACTATAATCCAATGGAGACAGTTTATTTTGTTTTTATTATATTGTTTGGCCGACAAAAATTAAAAAGTGAAAAATTTTTTCCGGGAATCTTTCATTCTCTTATTATTTGTACAATAAATACTATAAAACGTCTATTGGCCTATTTTTTTTCAAAAAATTTTCGTTTATTCCTCGCAAGTCGGAAGTAAATATCGTTCGTTAGACTACTTCCTCTAACTAAACGATCTAGTTCGGTCGACTTTTCCACACGTCCGTCGACGGTAGGACGACGGACAGTGTGTACAAAGGGCAGAGACGTAATCAACGCGAGCTTATTACTCGCGCTTACTGGGAATACACAGTAAAAAATCTATTATTTACCGCTCAAAAAATGGCTTATTCTTACACGAAGAACATATCTTCGCACCTATGAATCAAACCAACAAGCGTTCGGACCTTAATAAATTGTGCCATAACCGTAGAATGGAATTACATATCCTTAAACATCATACATTTCAAGGAATAATAGATACCTAAATAAGTGCAAGCAAACACTAAAAATTTGGCAACGCTGCTATTTCTGCAATGATATTTATAAACTTCTAAACAAGTAGTTGCCTTAAAGGTCAAGTTCATAGCTCTCCGTTCATACGTTTCCGTTTGTCCGTTAGCCAATCAGAAGACAGCAAATTTTTAAATCGTACGTCGTCCGTTTACGACGGAAAAGTTGGTTGAAGTTGAACATTTACGTTTCCGTTGGTCCGTTTTTAACAAGAGTGAGGTTATGTTTGGTATGTTAACAGCGTTCGCCTATTCGTTCTTCACGGTAATAATCAGATAGCAATGTGTTCTTACTTTCGTACCATTTTCACATACTGAAAATCACGGAGGGTACAGTACAAAATAAAGTTTAGGTTATGGTTATACTTGCAAATGTACAATGTGGACGGATTGCTATGAACCTTAACAAAACGTACTATCCGTTTGACGGATCAACGCAACGGATGAACGGAGAGCTATGAACCCACCTATTAGGCGTAGCGTACGCCAGTAAAATTGAGAAAAAGCACTAAAATTTGTTAGGCAACACACAATACATATGCAACACTATACCGTTGGATCTCTTATTATAGTTATTATAGTTACTCTTTGCTTGTACTACAGGGAATGATGTAAACGTAAAGTGTATTTATATTTTCTTTTTTACTCTTCCATCATACTACTTATTAGTTTATGATCCGCACTAAATAGATAATTCGTTGAATTTTTAGGCACTAGTGCGCGAAAGTAGATAGTCAATTGTAAAATTGACGTTCCCGACTTTCGTGTTTTATTGGGAAAACGCGATTTAGAACGAAGGAGTGCAAAAAGAACTATTACAAGGTGATTTGTTTCATATATCGGCTGTTTCACGCAAACCGTTACCTAAAAGCATTCAGAATCCTATTAAAATAATTTAAATCTGCAAATTTGCATACCAACATAGTTTTTTATGCTCTATCGAAAGAAAATATTATCATGATCGTTTCATTTCCGGTTGTACCGGAAGCGGATAGCAACTTCCTTATTTTAAATGGAACACCCTATATTTTATTGCATTTTCGAAATATACATGAAAATCTACGTCATTTGATACCACATTTCCATATTCCTAGCATCAAAGGTTTTCAAGTTATTCAAGATATTTCAAAATTTGTGACGTTTGATTGCTTTTCTTTAGTGCCCTGTACCTATGGCTACGCTGACTTGAATTTCAAAAGGTATACCAACAAAATCAACAATACTGACGTGATGGCTACATGCGCTACATTTCGAACTCTTTTTCAATAGCCATTCTTTCCTGAATTTTTGAATTCTCTTTCCATATTTCCGCTTCTTTACAGAACTTGAAGTTGAAACGGCTTCCCGCGCCTAATTCTTTATAGAATTTCCGTTTAAAATATTTGCACGGTTGTCACATTTAATTTTCTTTCTTATTGGCATGATATAATTAGAAAACATTACTTAAGTATAAAAGAAATCAGCAACGATTCAGTACCTATTGTTAATTACATTGGTATTTTCCTGTTTAGTTGGCATCTATTGAGTAGGCAGTAATTACTATTTAATTGAATAACCAAAAACAGGTACAATTGTAAAAATGTAAATTAAATTGGTTATTATTCATCCTTTTTAGATCATCTCCTATAAGCAAATTAAAGTAGACAACATATTTTATAAAATGCACTAGCAAATTGGATTTTATATGATGAGCATAGCGATTATTTTACAGGAAATTTTGTTTGCTTTAATTTTGTATAGATGTCTACATACTCTGAGTTGTTTCTTATGCAATAATTTTTATGTCTTCAAAAAAAAACAGCAGTCTAATCCAATAATCAGTCAAAATATATAGTGCAGTTAAATAACAAATTAATAAATCTGCACCCGTCAAATAAATTTAATTACATATTTATTTAAACAATTCAATAAAAAAATACTCTCGACCCGCATTTTAAGCTGCAGCACTAGCGCGCATCGGTCTTCCACTCCATTTAATAACGTGTGATATTACCATCCCGTCAAACAGGAGCGTTTTTACCGATCCCGCTAAAACAAAAACGGATGCGGTTTGACGGAATGATAATATCACAGGTTATTAAATGGTACCAGTCACATATATGCGGTTTCGCCGCACCAGGAAACAGCCGCATCATATGCTGTCAAACCGCATCCATTTTAGCAGGAGCGGTAAAAACGCATAGTGTGACACCACACTTAGTGCCTGAATACACTATGCGTTTTAACCGGATGACTGCATCCAATGGATTTAAATGCGAGCGTTTACACTTATCCGGTTGCGTTCCGGTCGCCGCAAGTAATGTAAACGCACACAACCTTCCGCTTTCGTAGGATGCGTTTTGAAAGGGTGCGTTTAAAACGCATCCTGCGAAACCGGAAGGTTTTGTGCGTTTACATTACTTGCGGCGACCGGAACGCAACCGGATAAGTGTAAACGCTCGCATTTAAATCCAAAACGGTCCGGTCAAACGGGACCGGTTAAAACGCATAGTGTATTCAGGCACTTAGGCGTAGCGTACGCCCCAATAAAATTGAGAAAAAGCAATAAAATTTGTTAGGCAACACACAATACATATGCAATAATATTCTCTATGGCGTACATATGATCGACAAACAGAACATCGGACAGACGGTAGCAATAGTGTACTCTTGAACCTAGATTACATTGAAATTACGGTAAAATAAAAAATTGTAATGTAATCGTAAATAAATTATTTTTGTAACATCATTAAACAAGTATAATTACTTATTCAATGGTATTAGTAATTATGTTTTATCAGAGACCAGTTAACAAATTAACATATGCCCCAATTTTGCGTAGCATTCGGTTGCACAAAGAGGCACGAATTTGCACTTTTTTTGTAAGTGTAAGTATTTATCATTGTTTTAAACAATGAGTACATTACCGATTACCGCAATAGTATATTTATTATGTGTGAAGCTCGTAATAAATTTTCATTAGTTTTAATTTGCTGATGATTCCGATTCTACATTTATAAGGTGCCACAGCTAGGTTTAGGCGTAACCTTCTGAAATTACGCAAGAAACCCTTTAAAACAGAGGGCACATCAGCGTTTACATTTAAATAAGGGAAAAAATAACGTCAGATATAAGCTGGTCGCTAAAAATTCGCCAATGATTTCTTGGTGCCCAATTTTTTAGAAGCAATTTAGTTTCCATGTTGGTTGGAACATCTTGGAGTGTGGATTGTGCTACCATACACAACTAGTCCATGGCGCTACTAATTGCCCTACCATTCAAGGTCTTAAAAAATAAAATATTTAAAAAAGCATTAATTTATTGAGATAGATACAATATAAAAACAATGCTGACATATTTTTATCGTGTAATTTCTTACAAAACTGATGTTATTAAACACATTTATTTTTAGGCATCCAAAGATTGAGATCATGAAATGCCCTTCAAGAATATCTAATAAAATATCACTGGTTAAATGTAATTTTTGCGACAGTATAGAATATCAGTCTTAGATTCTAGAGAATATAAATTTTTCAGTCTTTAAATACCAAAAATGAGCTGTTTCAGAAAAGACATTGTTTAAAAAATAAATCAGACAGAATAAAATTAAATAATACAAGAAACACTACAGCTGCTATAATACCCTGTGAAATAATACTTCAATTATCATTTTGTGCCGGTTGGTTGGCCACCGTGACAATACACGCTCCGGCGCGACCGGTTATCAATGGAGCAATCGATAGCCACTCATTCGTAATGGGGTCATATTGCTCGACATTTTTTAGATAGTGATTACCATCGTAACCGCCTACTGCTAGAATATGTTCGCCAAATAAGCATGCAGCTACGGCATCACGTTTACTTGATAAAGAAGCTACCATAGTCCATGTATCAGAACCTAGAAGAAAATATACAAAGTGTTTTAATTTTTTCATTTGATTGTTTTCCTAATGTTACTGCTTTTTTGGCATGAAATTAATTGAATTAAGATAAATTAAGTGCAAGTGAAGTATACTATTATCAATGCAGACATACTAAGCATCTTGCTTTATTGATGCGTGAACTTGATTTAACACCAAATATACAGTGTGTAAAGCGATGGGGTATACAAGAGGGATTTTTTTTTAAATATTGATTTATGACAAAAATTTATTCTTCATGATATTTTTTGCTTGCTTTGAAAGTACCAATAACGTTTCGATTGTTTGTGGTTTGATAGCAATAAGCCGCGTACAGACCGGATTCCAACGCCAAGCCAATGAATTCAAGCACATGTGACGTTGGCGTTTGTCGTTGCAAACGATTGGAATGTCCTCGTCCACACCAAAATTTAAGATTTGAGTTGGACTTGGTGGGACCGTGTTGGGTAAAGTTCAGTAACCGGTGCTGCTAGTCTGTCAAACAATGTCATGCGACGAGGACGAGGTAACAACACCATTTAAAAATAGGAGTTTGTATAGTGACAGTCACTTACTAGAGGAACTTCAAAATGAAGATGGTGGACATTTTAAAAAGACAGACAAACGACTAAAAACTAAAATCGCGACAAATCCTGTCCAGACCACATCAAATTTCTCTTTGATGTACCGCTCACTGAGCGAACGCAATCGAACGCCAACAGCGCCGTTGGAAGCGGTTAGAAACCGTTGGCTCGCGCGGTACACACCAATCCGAACACCTCCAAATCTGTAACCACATATGCCTTGGCTTGCGTTGGAAACTCGGTCTGTACGCGCCTATACGCTATTTTGATTATAATGTAGAATAACCTTCAATAAAAAAAATTAATTTTATTATTTTTCCAGATTTCTATAAATAAATTTTAGATTATCGAAACGTTATTGGTACTATCAAAGCAAGCAAAAAATATCATGAAGAATAAATTTTTTTCATAAATCAATATTTTAAAAAAAATTCCCTCTTGTATACCCCATCGCTTTACACACTGTATATTGTAAATAATGCGGCCCCCTACCAGGATCATATCTTTCAACACAGAAAAACCTAGAGGCTGCAGGGTTATTTGCAGGTGCATCTTGGCCACCCATAGCATATAAGTAGCCATTAGCAACTGCAACCCCTACTCCACCTCTCCGGCGAGCCATCTGTGCACATGTCGTCCATTTATTAGTGTGCGGATCGTAACATTCCACTGTGCGTAAACAGGACGTGCCATCTCGACCGCCTACAGCATATAACTTTCCACCTAACACAGCCACACCTGCAGAACAGCGCTGACCTTGCATAGGAGCGACATAATTCCACTGACGAGTCACAGAATCCCATCTAAAATTTAAAATTAATTGAATTACGAAAACTATAGTTTTGGATCACCTCTCAACAGTGTTGAGGTAACTCCAACCATCGTGACCACCAACTGCATACAATGGTCCCCCCAAAACAGCAACACCCAATCCGTGTCTATGGGTGTTCATGGGAGATAATTGGGTCCAAGCGCCAGACTCCATATCTAAGCACTCCATTGTGTTTAAAGTCTTGAGACCATCTCTACCACCAACCACTAGTAATCTGAAAATGTTGAGCTAAACATTGCATCAAGTTCTCAAACTGTTACAGATTTTAGTTCCATTTATTTGTATGTTTAAAATCAAATGTAACATACTTATCTCCCATCAATGCAATGCCAAACTGCAATCTGCGTCCACTTAAATGGTAAGCAATAGTCCAACAGTCACTTCTTGGATCATAACTTTCAATAGTAGTTGCCCCTTTACTTTTATCCATTCCCCCGACCACAAGAACACGCCCCAGAGTGGCTTTCCTAGGTCTAGTTCGTGAACTGATCATCTGCGATCGCCGTTCTGGTAACAAGTGCCACTTCATTGCCTCCATAATCAGTTTTTGGCAAGCAGGATCAGTCCCGATAACATTTTCTATATTATCTGCTAGAAATGATGGTTCTAAAAGTGGCAACTTCACCAGACCGAGTAAACGAGCAATGTGCGGTTTTCGTGAAATTACATCATGATTAATCCAGCTCATTAAAGCGTAAAAAATTTGTTGCTCCGATGTAACGTTAAGATCATCGCTTCCTAATAAAATCGCCATTTGTTCGACATTAAGTTGAAGGAACTCTTGGTTTTTAATAACCTGTTATTGCAAAAGTAAATTCCCATTAAAAAAGGTTGGTATAGTACCTGGTTGAAATGTTGGCTGGTATATGCAGTTGCCTCATGTAGTAGGCTATTGCAATTTTGATGTTCCGCAAATACGGCAATACCTAAACAATTACTGGGATGTAGTTGATGTGCGAGAAATCTTGAACACGCTTCGGTAACCTCCCTAAGCTGCATTAGACACGCTGTTGCTAGAAGAGTCTCTACATTATCCTCCCTTATTTCTATAGTTCCAGTATAACAGTAGTTTACAAGAGCGTATAGAACGTCCCCATTCACATCCTGTAAAGTGATCTCTGGCTCGGCAGTTTCTCGCATGTTGCCAGTGAACATTGCTGAGAAATATTCGCTAGCAGCTGACAGGACCAATCTGAAAATAAAGTTCCCCTAAAGTCCGTATAAGTAACATAGGGCAATGCAATCGTTATGGAAGTCTTAAGCACGGCGGCGCCGATTTTAATTTGAATGATAATTGTCATGATTTCCAATGTGAAATGTCATTTTAATGCAAATTCTGGAAGTTGACAATATAAGGGTACAGGGTCACTGCAGTCAAATGTGGTTGACACGGTTCTGGTAAGCACGCAAGTCCTTGTATGACATTGTGCGACAATTCAATGTGAAGATTCGGGAGGAGTACATTGCGTGCGTGGAGGGGATGTAAAGGTCAATCGGACACATCACAGAGAATGACTTGCAGTATAATATATGGAATAAAAACACTGCTACCTGAATGTAAACTAGATATTAAAAAAATGGTCCTCTCTGTTCTGCAGTCAGAGTTTATAATACTCTACCACACTATGTCAAAGTGCAACAAAACATTTTTAAATTTAAAAAGGATCTGAAACGTTTTCTTGTAGAGAGATGCTTCTACTATCTAAACGATTTTTTTTTAGTAATGTAAAGTAATGTATTTTTTGACGCATCCTATGCACTACAATCATGTGTCCATGGAAATAAAAGAGTATTATTATTTATCCGGCTTTATGGTTCAGTGGTAGAGCGTGGGACTATAAATCTGGAGGTCAGGTGTTCGATCCTGGGCTGAGGTGAATTTTTCTCTGTGGCAGAGATGGGAATTACCTTAGACCAGTTTCGAGCATTCTGACGGCTACTCCGAATTACCGTATTAGGTTTTCCTGCAGTTTTCCTAATTCGTAAGGTAAATGCCGGAGTAGTATAGAACAACTTAAGACCTTCTGCAGAGGCACCTCTAAAAAGCATTATGCGGGTCACTCTGTAATTGGGCGCAAGCCTGTTGAGGGCCCAGAACAAGAGAGGGATAATAAATAAATTTCCACATTTTTGGACTTGTGAAGAAACATTTGAAAGGTCGCCGTTACATGTCGGACATAGAGGTGCAGGACGAGGACTGTGATTGGACTGCACTTTTTGGTGCACAGATTTGGATTGTCAGTGGGCTCCAAAATGGCTGACAAGTCTGCTACCATAATCAAATACTGTACGAGTACATGTGGTCATGACGTCAGTGGGGTAACTCGGCTCTACCACTCAATAAAGTAATGGGGTTTGTGTAGTCCTACCACTTAATAAAAGCTCTAATAAACGTGTATCACCTATACGGAGTTTCAGCCCTGTGATGTAGATATCACTAAAGTTAAACTTAACGTACAGATTATAGTGCTACGTGATAAATGAAATTGTTATTGATTTATCAATAACTAATCGCACAGAGATCGATAATTATCGATTAATCGATAATTTTTTTTAATTTATCGGTCGTCGATTAATCGATAATTAGTTATTTAAAATTAAGTGGTGCTTTGAATTGATTAATCGATTATCGATAATTATCGATTAATCGTTTTTTTGCACAGCAATAGCAGGTTAGGTACATGTTGACGTTTCTAATACATCACAGGGCTGAATATAATATGATAAGATTTGTTCAACAAATGTCAACCGCGTCAAGTTTCTCACATTAAACTTATAGCGTTTTCGATTGGCACAACTCGTACTGCACGAGTGTTGCACGAGAAACTGAAGAAATCCATGTGAAAATTGCTCTCAATGGAACATAAATACTCGTAAATATTTGTTGTCATTTGTCCATAACCTCATTTTAGATTTAGGTAATCGACAAATCTCTATTCTAAAAAATGACAAACGATTTCAGTATTATTTATGATAAACGATGAGGAATATAAATTTGAAATTCCTGTAAAGGACCAATTTTTGGCGTTCAGTTTAATGAGTAAGTGCAACTTTTTGTAAAATAGAAGTTATGGCTAGTTCATCATCTTCGCTATCGCTTGATGACGACAAAAAACTCCCAACGCAAGAAACAAATTCAAATTGTCGCACGTTTGTTTTGAAAATTTGTTAGCTAGCAGCTCCACGATCTCTCGGACCTCGTGCGTCGAAATTTGCACTGAGTGCGTAATTGTTGCATCACATTTGCCAATGGAACACAGAAAATTACCCTAAAATTACCAATAGAACGTAAAAATTGCACTTGTGCAGCACGAGTTTTGCCAATCGAAAACGCTATTACAAAGTATCAATTATTGCATGTCATTAATATAAACATTTACGGTAAGATTCGCGTTGGATGAGACTTCTAGCGGCAATAAAAAGAACTTAAAAGTCTGATTAAATTTCTGAAATAGTATAGTATTGGTATGTTTAGCCATATTTTGTCTATGGTTTAGCTCCTCTGTTTCGTCGAGTTTAAAAAAAATTTAAATGCATTCAGTGTGATTACTCAGCCAGCAATAAACGTCATCTGTTGTCACACAAGATATCTAACGATTTAAAATGTGTCCAGTGCAATTTTGCAACTAATTAAAATTATAAATCGAGTTTTAAAAAGCACCTGTGTAGAAGAATTCAAAAAACTTAAGCCTGATTCAGAGTTCCGTAACAGTAGGCGTTAAGAGTATGAAATAAGAAAAATAAACATTTAAACTATAATGGCGAGATTCAGAGTGGTTCCGTAAGACGCAGGCCGTAAGTAGTACGATGTAAGAAATTGATTATCGCTTCCGGAATCAGGTACCATCGCTTCAGATCGTGCGAATTCGCTAGCGATTAACACGTGTTGCTGCGCGCAGTGTTGCCATGTCCATGTTTTTTATGTAATACGCGATTCAGATAAGGCCAATTTATAAACATTTTCATCTAATTTGTTTTATAAATGTCCAACGATTAACATGTCACAAAACTTCAATAACATCTGTCACCGCTGCGATATCAACTCAAGCCCGCTTCCTACTATACTAAGTTTTACTTGTGAGTAAATAATTCCAATCACTTACTCATTTCCCTTGATTTCTAGGTTTTCTTCCACTCATGGCATCTGCAAATTATTAATTTAATTAACATATTCTGTCTCTTCATTCTTTTTTGTCTATAATGTTTTATACTAAAGGGTGTCCCAAAATTAACGCAAGATTTGAATTTGCCGCCATTTGTGCGGTGAAGTGTTGGCAACCCTGAAAAAAAAGCAATTTGACAGCTAAAGGCGGGTTTAGGCTCGTACGCAGAACGGCGCTGCTGCAGAAAGTCGCAGCCGCAGGTAGTTCGAGACCATGTTGATATACGGCCTTGTTTATGCTTGAACGCACAAATACAAAACGTAGGTTGCCGCAAATATGCTTGTCTGTAGGAGACGCAGAAGTTCGCAGAATTTAAACTTTGTACGCAGTTGTTTGTAGTCGGGCGTACAGCTCTTCTTGATCCTTTGTCACCATTACTTGAAAAACATTTAGAAACCTTCAAAAATTTCTCCTATATTTGTTAACAGGTCTTACTGCCCACCGTCGTACCCTCCTTTGAGTATGCAAGAGCCCCAACTCATTACTTAACGCCGTTAGTAACAGTATTTTCTTTAATTTAATTCTCTTCTTGTCTGCCATTGCAGAAATAAATCAAAAATCTGTTTTTTCTATTCACTTAACCAACCACGTTATTTAACGACCAAAAGAGGTTAGGTTTTAAATGTCAATTTCGACACTTGAACACTGAGAACAACTGCGTACCAACATAAACAGATAGATCACTAGTACACACGGGAGCGTACTTCTGCAGCTGAAATTTCCACTCACTTCTGCAACGTGTGCATTCTGCGTACGAGCCTAAACCCGCCTTAACAGTATAGGGTTATTAAAAATGGAGCGTTACACGATAGAACAACGTGTCTTCATTATTAAAGAATATTTCAAAAATAGTGAAAGCTTGGCGGCTGCAGTTCGAAAATTTCATACAAAATATGGTCGGAATAGTGTTCACATTCGAACGGCTTGTTTTTGGACGACCAGTGTGTTTGGCGTCTCCAACGGATCCAGTCTCAGTCTCTGCAAATTAATATGTACTTTCATTTGTATCAACAGAGATATCAGCAGTCGCGTTATCGTTCACGATCCCTTTGATTACGCTCGCGTTCAAAGATCAGTTGAGTTTATGTTCGCAGTTCGACCAAGTTCGCCGTGCTTATTCACATTATCGGTCAATTCACTGTCAGATCACGTGATGTGACCGATAATGTGAATTTGTCTCTAGAGGCGCTTGTGTAATTAACAAATTGCGAGTATAGTCGAGAGCGTTTTGTAAACATAGGGTTATTCTAGCAAGTTTTTAAGTAAAATTCTACTAATAAGTATATAAATTGAGTGTATCATTCCGTTTTTGAGATTTAAATATATAATCCCTTAATTCTATCTACCTGACCTTCCTTTTTCTTAAGAACTCGAGGCCGTCTTGAATTAGCTTGACCACAATGAACTTAATTTTCTAATTACAAATAAAGATCACAATAAATGTATGATTCAATGTCTAGCGCACTCGTACAACTTTACACCCACTCGCCGACATTCCCTTACGCCGATAACGCTTTAAAACAGCTCTACAGTGGCATAATTAGACTGATCACATTTTTCGATGGTCGTGCTTTAATAATATGTATATGACGATCGAAATTTTTCTTACAATTTGTGGCATAATTGCACAGACTGCACATAACATCCTTAAATATGGCATGTTTTCAGACACGCCGTTTAAAATTACGCTTATCGTGAGTAGCGTAATTACACTGATCATCAAATTTTTAAGAAGGTTTTGTGTTGAAAGACGACACTTTAAGCGAACGTTATTAATTGTAGCGTAATTACATTGATTGCAGCTGAAGTTTTTCAAAGCGGAGTAGGTCAAAGAATGACAGCGTATACAGGCTGATTCAAATTTGAGGGCCACCATGGGGATCTTGGAGTTGCGTATTTTGATGCTTAACAAAATGCAGTTTTTAAACTGAAAAAATTCCGACTACTTTCGGAAATATCCGGACAAAAATGAAATTGTGCAAAATCGTTTTTATATTTACCCGAAATTTTACCGAAGTTATTAAAAAAATTTTTCAAAATAACACATTATTATGACCAGTTTTTTCCCTCTACAAGATGCTAATTATTATATTATGGAAGTAATTTTTACTTTTTGTGTCATTTGATAGAGAATCTTTCTGTGATTACAAAAATTGTAAATATCAGAACTTTTTTAATATTGTTAAAATATCTTCTTTTTGCCTAGAAACCTTTGTCTTGGGTAGTGTACGTACGTAGTTTTTTGCATTTTTAAAGTTGGGCGCTTCGTTACGAAGATTGTCGCTCTAAAGATATGTATTTCTGTGTACGAAATATAAGGTACAAATTAGTAGGTTAATTTGTAGAGCCGCCCATTAAGGAAAATAAGAGCCCGTATGTAATTTGCCGTTTGGAACCGTTCCTGTAGGAATATTTAAATTCTGCGGAACGCTCTCTTTCCAGAGAGATAAATCAATCTTATTGAATTTTAGGTTCGTTAATTACCCATTAATCCATTTTAGTTTTTTTGGTATATGAAATCCGGCATTAAAACCGGCAGGGTCGTGTAGTTTAAGAAAAATATCAACGTGTTAGGAAACCTCGCCGTTTAACCTCCTATTCCAAAGAACAAAAGAGGATTGCTGTATCTCCGAATTTGGAGATTTCATTCCGGCTATATGGATATGTATAATTTCCCTGTAATTAGTTGAATGGGTTGCAGCAATCGCCTCCAATTAAGTCGGTCTTATAGCAATAAAAGAATTTAATTGACCCTTTGCTCCAATTAACATTATGGCTCAAATTTATTTCTTAACTTCAAAAAACAAGGTCATTTGCACGAAAGGCGAAACAAAAGGTCTGTTGTAGGAACCTGTATATACAAAGTTCTCACAACATGTTACTTTGTGACATTACATCGATGGACCTGATATCCCTTTCCAAGTTACGATGAGATTGTGCATGCCCTTTTTGATTTAAGGTGACAGAAACTGACGTTTGCAATCAGTACATTTATTCGAATTCATTTGTTTCTATGTTTGCATTAAAAATCTCAATTTTCAACAAATGTTAGTAAGCAGCCTTGGCTGAAACGCCGCCCACTTAAAAATAAATAAATAAATGTAGGTATATAATTATTTCATATATGGTCCCTACTTGTTTTCATTTCAGATAATGTATAATATTAAGAGATGCATTTCTCCTAATAGAATGATAGAGAGAAAGAGAGAGAGCCATACTCGGAGCTATACAGAAGCCATTCTAACTTTTACCAAAATTTCAGATCAATAGCACACTCCAGTAAAAAGGATCCAGAACAGACTTTTCTGTTTGAGAAAATGTCCTAAAAATGTGAGTAGTGCAGTCAGAAATCACACATGCATATAGTGAAATTTATTAGAAACATGTATTCACATAGGAAATATCCTCGAAAATATCTATCAGATAAGTTTAAGACAAAAAACAGATCTGAGCATTTGGCCTCTTGACTACGATAGCATCAAGTTACCCTTAACAAAAGATTTTATAGACAAAGAAGATATACCTTTGTTTCAGATTTAAATAACTGCTGACAATAACATTATTTCATTGCCCCACTGGTATGATAGTTTTTACACTAATAGTCTGCTTCAGACGAACTTACATTGCCTGAAACTCGTTTGGTATCTACATCAAACAATTTGTATTATACATACCTATGAGCAGGTACACGGCGCTGATTAACACCCGCAATGAGAACGACATCACACAGTTTTCCAGCTTGTAAGTAATGTCTCATACAGCTTAGACTATGTTCGGCATGCCCTTCGCTACGGAACTGTTCATCTTGTGAAGTATTCGAGGTGGCAGAGAACAAAGAAAGACGACTCAAATCGCGAGGTAGTTCTTCTCCGCCAGTTATACTATTAGTTGCCGAGATTGAGTCTTTACTGGGACTTCCCAAACTACCGGACACTGACATCTTCTTTGTCCCTTGAGACCTTGTCAAGATCAATTGTTGGAGATTCGATTCTGTTTAATTCATTTAATGAAAAGTGTAGGGCTAAATTATGGGTGGAAAATTATTTCACAGAATGATGCATAAAACACTTTTAATTAACTTCATTGTGAAGTAAAAGAATTAACAATTATACTTTTCAACTCTGAATGGATAAAAACAAAAATAAAAAAACTTGCAGTGCAACACTGTAAAGCTACGGAATTACCAACATAACGTATACCAAAAAACCAAAACGGAGACCATAGAAAACAGGAACAGAGAGATATAGATGTTCAATAGGTGCTTTCTTTCGAAGTGTGATCTTATCCTTAGATCATATAAACATCGATGCAATGCAATTACACTATGTCGCCAACATGTTCTGATTCAAGACTCTACATACTTTTGTGCTGTATCTCTCTTGTCGACGTACAATCTATAATATGTTGTTATTCCATGTACAGTTCAGTGATAGTATATTAGTAACCAATCAGAAAATTCAAATATTTAACCTCACAATGATAATAAACAATGCAATATTTATTATTTTGGGGAAAAAAGGTTCTCAATACATGAATAATACATCTTTATAGGACAATTTAGTGGTACAGAACTGTATTAAAAGTTTAGTTTCATATATAACCATGTACCTAAAGTCAAGCAAGGTTAAACAACAAAAACAGCTGTTTGCGAATATACGATGTAAACGGACAAACAGGGGGTGCGTTCTGTTGTCTATTGGTGGACCACTGATGCCACATCAATCCATTCTGTTGTCAAACGTTGTGCAACGGCAACGCGTTCCGTTCTCAACTGGCGGGAAAACGTTTGATGCATCAATCCATCCGCGATTTTTTAGATGGAACTGATGTAAGCTGAACTAACCTCACTATTATCAAACTTTTGGCGCCGAAGTATACAACAATTACAACAGAAAAGATGTTAAAAGTCCAAATTAATGGAAAAATATTGCAGTGGAATGAAGACACACTTGTTGTACAACGTTTTAATAATGGTACAATATAAATTATTAAGTATTAAATGCTATTGCGTTTTTACAACACTTGTCCAAAAATCAAATTTATTCTTGTGAAATATATTTTTAGATGACCAATTTGCTCAAGAATTCATTACACAGATTGTAAAAAATGGGAAATTAATACAATTTGGTATATCACCAAAGGATATAGTACAATTTAGTCGAATAATTGAGGAAAATTCATCTCCCCTGCAGGAAGATGTAGATGCAGAACAGAGTGAAGAGTTCAAGGAGCAATCTCCAACCCCTTCAGGAGATTCTGGAAAAAAGTGGACCGAAGAAAGAGCGATATTGCTTGTGACAAAAAGATTAGATGAAGAAAGGGATTTCATAAATCCCAAATGTAAAAAAAATAAACTTTGGAATGACATCGCAAGGCAAATGACCAATGTATGTGGTATAGAATTTACAGGCACTGAATGTGACAACAAATATCGCAACCTGTTATATACTTAAGGCAAATAAAAAAAAAAAGAATTCCACTGGCCAGGGTACAGTTCACTGGCCACTTTTTGATACCTTCGATAGGGTTCTTGGCTGTAAAGCAAATATTCAACCTCCTGAAAATACTTTAGCATCCACAATTGACGTTGAAGAAGTCGAGTCTACCATACCTACACCTCAAATTAAAAAACGTTTTTCCAAAGAACAGTATTTACGGCAAAAATTGAAAATTTATGAAACATATATTCAAAAGAAAGAAGAAAGAGAAGAAAAAAAATTACAAATATTGCAAAAAATTAGTGACAGCTTATAAATTATGGTATTTATTTTATATTCTGGGTCAAAATGATATTTTATTTTTATTTATGATAGAGTATATTTTTTGTTATGATATATAGTTTAATAAAAATAATATAGACAAGTAAGTGTGTTACAGAAGGTTTTGCATAATTTCTAAACGCTTTTCTTTTGCTGCGCTATTAACTAGTTCCTCTCCAACACTACCTGCATTTATATCTTCAGAGGCATTACTACATGAAGAATCTTGATTATCATCTTCATCGATGCAAACATTATGTAGAACACAGGCAGCCATTATGTAGTATTTTGCATATTCTACCTTCTCAACTTGTAAATATTTTAATCTTCTAAATTTCTGTTTTAAACGACCATATGCCATTTCTATCACAACTCTGGTCGAGCTTAATGTGACATTAAATTTTTTTTGTGCATTAGTTAAATGGCCATTATCTCGAAATGGGCACATTAAAAATGTATCCAAAGGGTAAGCGGAATCACCTAATAGATGTAAATCTGCAGGTATATTAGAGCTTTTCAATAACTCATACACTGGACTCTGCTTCCAAACATTCGCATCATGGCATGATCCCGGGAAACCACAAAATATATCCATAAATTGCAGTTTGGCATTGCACACACCTTGTAAGATGACAGAATGAAAACCTTTTCTGTTGTAATAGGAATTATCACTTCCTGATCCAGGTATCGGAATGTGTGTTCCATCTACACATCCTATCACACCAGGAAAACTGTTCTGCCCTCGACATTGGTTAAATTCGTCTACATTTTTTTTATAATCGTTTGGCCAAAGTATAAACCTGCCTCTTTCATTGTATAGGATTTTCATTACCCTCATAACCACTTCATGACAATTTCCTTTTCCCAGTCCAAACCTATCGGCAATGCCTCGGAAACTTTCTTGGTTTGCAAGACACCAAATTGTTGTTAGTAATGCCGTTTCGTAAGAAAGTACACTTTTCGTTCCAAGTGACACATATTTTTGTTGTGTTAAACATATAAGCATCTGGAACAGAATTTGAACACACTAATCCTGCCATATGCTGATGCACCAAGATAATTAGGTACCTCAACTTGAGTCCTAGTCAAACGGAAGTGTGACTTAAAATCTGTATCTGTGTATTGATGTATAATTGTCATATAGTCGGTTATTTTAGCCTTTTTACTTTGCTGTTCATCTACAGAATCAGGATCACTTGAATAACTTTCATCGGAGCTAGATACTTCCTCTGAGCTGCACATAGCTATTACCGCCGCAAGGGCAGCAGATAATTTTCGCTTCCTGTAAGTAATGTGTAGGAAATCATTTTGGAATAAGAAAAAATCAATGAACATACCATTCCATAATTTAACTAGGGACGATAAAACACAAAGTTGCACTCGCAGTTGTATGTAAACAAATAAAGTGAGGTTATAACTATCCACCTAAACGTTCTGGCATTAGTTACAACGGTGGATACCATCACTGATGCCAATCATTCTAAGAAACCCATCACATCACTGGACAACAAAACGCAGTCGTCCTTACCATCGCCAAGCTTGCGCACTTTTACAATCAACCCGGCAAAAGATAAATACATTACAACTTACTAATAGTAAAAGATGATAGGCATAAAAATGCACGTTGGAATGTTGGTGACGGTTGTCTTTTAGTAGAGCTTATGAGATAGCTCTATCCATGTTTATATGATTAAGTTCTTATCATCATGATTCCTAAAATCGTGAACAAAATGAACATAAAGTTTTATTTTCACGAATTCCTAAAATCTATAAATGCAAGGATATTTTTGCTCAAATGTTAGGTTAGTCAATATTTGTAACTGAACAGGAGCATAATCGTGCAAGTACTTCCACTTGTATTTATACCTAGTATATTGAAAGACAAGTGTTACAATGCGACCTATTGTAATACGACTATCTTGTGGCACGAGTGGCGACGCGAAGCGTAGCCACGAGTGTCCGCAAGATAGGAGTATTACAATAAAGCATTGTAACACGCGTTTTTCATACTATTTTTTCTATTTCGGTGCTTTAATTTAATTAAAAAAATCATTATCAGAAACTATAGGGAACATTAGAACTAACATGTTTTATGTTGGGAACACTTTTTATGCCGTTAAGTTTTAGGTTGGCAGCGTAGTAAGACTGACATTTTGAAGTTCAAACATGGAAGTACCCAACGCAGTACCTACATATATATAAGAGAAGTATATGGATAAACGAGTGGACACGCCTATCGCCAACGTTAGTGGATGGAAATATACTTCTGTCATTAGTTGGGAACTAGGCGCTAATGCGCTTGCCTGTTATTATGTAGTGTTATTTACCAAGCATTTACTCCAGTTTGACATAACGGATTGAGGTTAAATTGTTTGTTTTGTTTATGAGTTATTGAACTTTTGTTTAATTTTAATAGTAAAGAAGCCTTTCGTAGTTATATAAATCAGTATACGTAAGTGATACACAATAATTGTAATGGAATACCTAATGTTTGGCAATTTTAGTGTGTTCATTACTTAGAAATAAAGAAATGCAGGTACTTGTGGGAAAGTGGATTTTTCGGTTTCATGGCACAAGTAAGTTACAATGCAATTATCTGCAATCAATTCATTTATGCCATACTTGTTATTAGATTCCCAAGTGAAAAAAGCAACAAGAATCGGTGACTGCAAGCATGTGAACTATCGGAATTCGATGATGTAAAAACAAGGTTGTGTTCTCGTCATTTTAACCGCTATGACTGCATTGATTTGGATGCACGCAAGCATGATGGGGGCACGAAGTTATATGGGGGTCCCTTAACACCTAAAAGATTTCCAACTCGACAATGTTAATTTTATTTTAAAATCAGTAAATGTCTTTAATTTAATTGTGTTTCTTTGAACATTGGTAATGTATCACTTTATATTATAGCTGATTCGAACTTATCCAATTTCATTATTTCAATTGCAATTTAAGTTTCTAAATCGTTACAAAGTTTGCCTTCGAAGTGTGTAACTGTAAACAAACTCCGCTGAGGAAGCTCGAAAGTTCTCCGTGAAAATGCTACAGTTTCCAAGCAGAACGATACGGAGTACTTTGAACCAGAACGCACTGGGGGGCACGTGAGCGCTGATTTGAGTTGGCAGTGAAATCATTCAAGTAGGCCATTGACTGCAGGTCCCGAATCCTTGTGTGCCGAAAACAATGTTGAGGGCACAAAAAAGGGAAGATTCAAATTGTCGTCGTCCCTCTCGGTGAAGATGCAAGTAGGGGAATCGAAGCGATATAGTCAACAGGTAAGAAACGTTTCGGCGGCGATTGGTCTTGGGAGGGTGGGCCTCGGCCAGCTAGTATACTTATCTAAAGACATCACAGGATCAGACAATAGTGATAGGAGTCGGCAGGTGGAATGGGGCCAATGTGGTGAATATGAACTTGCATGAAGCGAATAGAAGTCTGGGTGAAGTTTCCGAATGGTGCGTGGTTGTGTTTACATATGGTAATTGCACACAATAATGGTTTAATAAAATTTTAACCCTATTTTCGAGTTATAGGTTATGAAATTTGAAATTGGCGCTACTTAAAAGTAGGCGGAGAGAAGTAAATATTTACTTGGGGAGTTTGCGCATAAATACAGAGTTCAGGACTAAGGAATAGGGCAGCTCTCTTTTATGGCGAACAATTTGCACATTGCAATCATAGGCGGTTATCCATATACTTCTCTTATATATATGAGTACCTACTTGTACTAACTAGTAACTGCCAACTTAAGAGATGAGTTACCAAAAAAAACGACTATAATCACTGCCTTTGTACAACTGTTTTCGGCCGAAAACAGTTGTACAAAATCATCATTGTGACACCGAAATAGAAAAAAGTATTTTGACACGAATTCCTAACCTATAAATGCAAGGATATTCTGGATATTTTTGCTCAAATGTTAGATTAGTCAATATTTGTATAGCATAATCGTGCACGTGCTTCCACTTGTATTTAAATTATTTTCATAATCCAAACAAAAAATACGTAATTCGAATGCAAATGTGCGCTACGTAAACTTAACCAAACTTTGATTCAAATTCGCGCGTTCTTTCGTAAAACGTGATCCTACGAATCACGATCTCGAAATCATGATTGCGAAGTAGCCGAAAGAAAGCGCCTGTGGTAGTATCTGCTTATTCAATTGGTTGTTTACTCTATGGTTTGTGTATACATTCCTTTTCTTATATGCTCTGAGAATTTATATTAGGAACACAGAAATAGGAATTGCAAATCTTACGCAGTCTTATCAGCATGAACGTCGACCCACAGATATATTACGTTACGTTTACGTATATCTGCGGTCGACCTAACGGTAGTGGTACCGTGGTACCTACAAATTCTAAAATTACAAAGCTTGGGTGCAGGTGAAACTCGATAAGGGTTAAGAATGTGTGGAAACTTGCATGTTGAAACAGAAATTTGAAATTTGGTGCACAGCCACAATCGGTCAATTGCGGATTGAAATAATACTCATATGTCTATGATTGAAATAAAATAACTTCATCGTTTCCGTAAATACTAAAGTCCCAAGGGACTTTAGTAAATACCGGGATTTAGCGCCATTTTGTTTTTTTAAAATAAAAACATACCATTTTCTATTTTTTCTAAATGCGCCATTTTATTCTGAATTGGACGCATTTAAGATTTGCGTACCGTGTACCGTCATGATTTTTGATATACTTTTACGTCAATTTTTTCTCTAAAAATAGGAGATGCAAAAGTCAATTCAAAAATTCATTCTCTAAACCGTTCAAGATAAGTGAGTTTTGATAAATGATAATCGAATCCTAAGCATAATGAATTTTTTGAGTGGCCTCTGAAAGTTTTGAAAAAGTTTACCATCAGTTAAATAATGCCAAAAATACTAGAACCTTACGCGCGAAATTCAAACGATCATCACTCTTAACGAATCACCCGGTATATGACGAATACCTGCGTATATCCCAAGCTTTCCAAGGTTAGGTTAGTATCCGTATACCCTCCAATACAGCGTTGCACTATAGTTCAGCGCTTATGCGCTACTTGTTCCTTTGCACTACACAAGTACAATCAACCAACAAACAGCTGACCAACGGCAGCAACTTTCAAAAAGGCTATTGAAAACGAAGATTTCATTATTGTCTCTTTAGAATGAAATGCCTGTTGGTATTCGATTATTCGAATGATGTTATTTATACTAAGTACAATAAAAAATTCGCTTCACACATTAACGATTTGGCGAAGTTGCAGGGATTAACATCAGAACAGGTATTTAATTAATGATAGTATTTGATCTATAAACATTCATTTTAAGAATAAAAATGCAAAGATTAGTTCTAACATTATCGTGCAAATATTTTCCCCGATTGTCACCTCGCAGCGTATTATGAGTTGTCAATTTGGCAATTCGTACACTTCCATTCAATGTGACAATGGTTTGAATATGGCATTTGAAGAAGTAAGATATGTTACATTTAGCTTTGTTAATTTTAATGACCTAATCATAGTTTATGGGATATCTATTTGTGAGCATCGGACAGGAAGATGTCGCTGCTATGAAGAGATTTCTTAGTGTATGTGTCACTATTGTCCGGTATTTATGTGGACCTGATGTTGTTATGTAAGTACTGTTTAAACCGAGCTGACCAAGTGGGTACAAGTTCACAAATGGTCATTGATCTTAAAAGTGTAAGACTGTTAGCATACGAGATCAAAACAAAATCAACATGAGCCTCGTAGCTACAAAACTTGCGAAAGAGGGGCTGAGCTGAGCAGGACCTGGGCTACATTTTGACCACAATTATCCACAAGCCCAGATCCAAATTGCAAATAATTTAACACATCTTGTCCCCCTATGGCTGGGGTTAACTATCCCATAAAAAAATCTATCACTAACAATCTGCATGAGCGAAAAATGTGTCCGTGCAAGAGCAAATGAGACAGTTATATGATAATCTGCAGGTTAAAGAGAGAACACAGACCGGGTGGTGCACAGTAAGTAGGAACATAGGGATTTAACATGGGAATTAGTTTTATGCAATATCTGTACATTTTACAGAAAAAACTGTAGAGTTTAAAGCTGTTCAGAATTAAAAGGTGCATACAAAACTGTTTTTACATGTTTTATTAAGCTTTTGGTACTTATACCCGCAAATTTAAAAATAATTTCAACATTTCTGTTATTATAGTAGCAATTCATAAAACAACAAAAGTCATGGTTATTGCTACTAATAACAGAAATGTTGAAATTTATTTTTAAATTTGTGGGTATACCAAAAGCTTAATAAAACATGTAAAAACAGTAGTTTTGTATGCACCTTATATTACAATATGTACCAGGTGACCCAATAAGACTGTTCCTCGGCCATATCTCGGGAATCGTTCGTCGTATGACTTAGGGGTAAGAAACATTATTAGGTAAATCGGTTATGAAGAATCGCTGCAAAATATTTTCAAGTTCCAAAAATGACCACCAGAGGGCGTAACTGCCATCTTAAATTTTAAAATTGCATTTTATTTAAATTTTGCATAATAAACTAAGCATTCTCTTTTCACAGTTTTAAAGAGAACCAGTTTATCCATCATTTTCGTAAAAACAAAAAACTCAGTTATTTCAAAAACAAAAATGGCGTGGGTCGTTCAATTGTTTTTGCAATAACCTGCTTTAACTTCTTAACAAATTTGGTATTGTTGAAAAGAGCATTCCTTGGGCAACAAGAATCAACCAAAATATAGTTAATTTAGTTGAATAACACTATGATCCAAAATCCTAAAAAAATCAAATAACCAAATAACAACCAAAGAGGCCAGTGAAAACCGTTTTTCAAAATCTCGTTCTTAACCCTTAGTCCATATAGTACATGGACTGCTATTATCCCTATGCTTTCAATGCAAAATGGGCGGTCACGGATAGAGGGCACTGTAGTCGTGGGTATGTGAATCTCAGGCTAAACTAGTCGTATGTACACCACTCGGATCGCGTAAAGAGTATCTTTTATGGGAACCGCGTAGTACGGGAAGCTTTAAATACTCTTGATTATCTTCTATACGTCCACAAATACGGATAGGTTTGCTTTTTTGGCATATCTAGGCGATTAATTAATTGACGTTTGTTAATTTATAGGTTGACAGTGTCAAATCGTGTCTAATCGCACAACTTCGGACAGACTCGTTTACCCTGAAACTCACATACCCAGGCGATGTCCTTGACTATATTTTCGTTACAATTAGCAGTCCATGTACTGGTCTAAGTCCTAACCTCAAATATTGGGAAAATAAAATTAATCAATTAATTAATAAAAATGCTTAAATTGTATCTTAAATTTACTTTTGACGTATTTCCGGTTTTTGTCGATGGCGCGAAAGATTGTTTGGAAAAGCACCCTACACTGGTAGGCCTTGGAAAATTAAACAAATGAAACAAGATGCATTATAAAATAATAACAGCCGTAATTTGTAAATTATTCGGCTGTGTTTACATTCAGAAAGTGCAGTTTTTTGAATTTGTAATCTTTTCTAAAATCCCGATTTCTAACCAAGAAGCATTTAATATGCTGGCGACGATGGTTCATGGTCGATTCGGATAACTCAAAAAGAAGATGTTGTCAGCGATGGTCGCATTTTGAAAATACTCAAAATATATCGCCAGCATATTAAATGCTTCTTGGTTTAATCAGCATTTTAGAAAAGATTACAAATTCAAAAAACTGCACTTTCTGAATGTAAACACAGCAGAATAATTTACAAATTACGGCTGTTATTATTTTATAACGCATCTTGTTTCATTTTCCAAGGCCTACCTAAAAGTGTAGGGTGTTTTTCTTTCGTGCCATCGACAAATACCGGAAATACGTAAAAAGTAAATTTAAGATACAAGTTAAGCATTTTTATTAATTAATTAATAAATCTCATTTTCCCAATATTTGAGGTTAGGAACGAGATTTTGAAAAACGGTTTTCACTGGCCTGGATGTTATTTGGCTACTTTTTCATAAAGAAAAAGTCATATAATTCCATTTGATTTTTTTATATTTTTTTAGTATTTTGGATCATAGTGTCAAAACTAGCCCCCTGGCGGAGAAGGATTCAACTAAATTAACTATATTTTGGTTGATTCTTGTTGCCCAAGGAATGCTCTTTTCAACGATACCAATCAATGTTACAATCAATCAAACTGTTAAGAAGTTAAAGCAGGTTATTGCAAAAACAATTGAACCATCTTTGTTTTTGAAATAACTTTTACGAAAATGACAAACTGGTTCTCTTCAAAAATGTGAAAAATTTTGTTTAGTTTGTCATGCGACATTTAAAGAAAATGCAATTTTAAAATTTAAGATGGCAGACCTCTGGTGGTCATTTTTAAAACTTGAAAATGTTTTCCAGCGATTCTTCATGACCGATTTATCCAATAATTTTTTTGACCCTAGAGATGAACGGTTCTCGAGCTATGGCCGAGGAACAATCTTATTGGGTCACCCGGTACAAAATGGTAGCTGAAATCTACGCGGCGAGCACTGTGGTCGGAGTGAGCGCGAATGCGGGTCTTCTGGGTGGTGGAACGTGGCGCGAGGTCGATCTGGAAAGATGAACTGGTTCTGCAAGCGTCTCTGGTGAATGTTTCTTGAAGCGCCGTCAAAGTAGGAATTGCTTTGCAGTGTCAATCAATCAATCAAAATAGGCTTATTTTGCATGTTATAGATGATACAATGATTGTGTTAGTAGTAAATGAATGGCGGACTGCTAAGGACTTGTGTCCTCTTCAGTCCTAGTACGTGATTTGTGATAAGTATGTACAATACATGCAATGATTATCTGTATCTATGCTATATTGTGCAGGTATCGGATCATGTCCTTGGTGCATTGCAGATTGTCGTTGTCAAGGGGTTGATAGAGATCGTGGTCGGTTCTCGTTCGGTGTAGGATTGGTGATGGTGGTGTGGTTCATGTTGGATTCTGGTACGCGCGTCCTTATCTGAAAAAGAAAGAAAAAGAAGCAGTAATTGTTTCTTTTTGGTTTTTAGTATGGTTTGCGTTACCGTATGGTGTAAGGGGCATTGTCATGGAGCTCTTCGAATTCCTGGGGTAGGTTTTCGTGTAGTTGAGTATGGGAGGGAATTTGAATTTCCTTTTGGGTTTTTGGGGCCTCCCGTGGCGGATTTATTGCAAGGGATCTTTAGGATTTCTTTGGTGGGCTGGGTGTCGCCGTGGACCCTGCGGTGCGCAAATCTTGTTTGTAGGGATGTGAGTTTGTGTGTGATTGGTTGTATGTTTGCGTATTGGATGGTAAGGTCGGAAGGGTAGCATATGGATCGACTCTGTGTATTTTGCGTAAGATGCTGCGTTCGCAGGCGGCGGCGATTTGGTGTCGTTGACTAGAGGAGAAGCTGCAGTACAGTGGGGCTTGATAATCGATTAGTGGTCTGATGTACGTTTTGTAAGTGTGTTGGACCCCAAATTCTGAGCTCTGCTTTTAAACGTTTGCGGCGGGGGACGCGAAGCTCTCATCGGTTGGCCGTTTTGACCAATGAGTGTGCAGCACGTTTTAGTTTGCTGCCGGATGTGCAAGCCGCCCGTCGCCACATAGCCTAACAGCTTTGAAATCCTTAGCGCACGATCTAGACGGCTACCTTGTACGTACAGCCTGGAAAGTTGTGTTTACTCTTAAGATATGCCTTCGTTCTCGAAATTATTATTTGTATGGAAGTAGGTACATGTATAATGTATTTCTTATACTTCCTAATTAAAGTTTGCTAAATATTTACTTTTTTTAAATCAAAGTTAACTCCATCCTCTATAATTGCTTTATTTTTATTTTAAGGTTGAAATCAAATAAACAAATAGCTTCGATTGTAACATCCGTAATCGATAGTTGGATATATTTGCACAATACCGAACAATTGATGTTAATAGAAGCAATAGAACAGCTAATGATCAATTCTGATCTCAGTTCATCAGCTTTGAATACACTACAAGAAGCTGTAGATAGGCTACAGGCTGTAATAGAACGCCCCAAGGTCCACGCTTTAATTTTAGTTCAGAATAAATTTTTAGGCTTATATTCCAGGTAATTATCGAAATCAGTTGTCACATTGTACTACTACATTTTTATATTGCAGCCGAACAGCAACGTCCTTGTCTTCAACTGATATATTATTTTTTATCTTGCTGTGTAACGTCAACAATTTAAAAAATGTCTCAAATGAGACTGATACAGAAACAGATAGCGAAGAAGAATTTTACAGCCCTCAATCGAGTCCGGTACACGCTTCTGAAACGCAACTAAAAAGTGGGAAAATTTGTAACTACCAAGTGATGCTAGCCGGAAATGATTTCGTTCCTAAGTGCGTGCCGCACGTGATCTACATCAGTACAATAGAAGAAGGTGTTGATTTACTGTTAATAATTGAAGTTGGGAACGCCTTGATCTCGTCTGGTCTGTACGATACATTTTTTCACTTGAATGCAATACAAACTGCACAAATTCAGAGAGATATAGAAACACTCAAACCTGCTTTTGATAACCTAGACACTGCCATTAAAAAACTTACAGACGGTCTGAAAAAAGTCAAAAACAGCACCTTCGAATTGAGTTACAAGCAACTTTCCAAGCAGTGGGATTATATGCGGAAAAAATATTTAGAATTTATCAAAGCGAATTGTTCCGATGCTCTGCTGAGAGCCGAATCAGCGACGATGAATTTTTTAGACATTTTGAAAGAACTACTGAATTTAACAGCCTTTGACAATTCTGTGCTCAATGCAAGTCAGGTTTGCGTGAAGGAAATTGTAAATATGGTTCAGGAGAAATTGGAGAGCTTTAATGAATTTTTTAGAGCGAAGGCACTTCGGAATTTTACTTTGGGATCATATCCTTTATTGCATTTATTAATGACCAAAGCTGTAAACAATGCATGATACGATATCCCTATTCTAGTAGGTTCGAGACAAGGTTTTGGAATTATTCTCATTTATTTATGGCTCATCTTTTTAAAGATTAGTTCATTTAAAACTTTTATTATTCTTGATTTTAAAAGAAACGTTTATATAAAAATTGCTTCAATTAAAAACGTGCAATATAATTTTAGTTGCTCTGTACAGAACGTGTGGACGCTTTTATATAGATTCTGTTAAAGACACCTACCATCTCGGACTCAAATTTTATGAAAGAGTCACTTAAGCATAAACAGAAATCTCAAAACCATTTGGCTGCTAGGATGCGGTTCTTAAATTTGTTTAGCTTCTTCGATCACTCGTATCTTTTTTGTTGTAATTAATTACTGAAACAATTTGCAACAACACGTGGGTATTTTATTATAGTGTAGGTTGTAAATTGAATATCACAATTTTGTTTATTTTCAGATTAGATTTTTAGATATATAGCCCTGTATATTTTCGCATAGAAAATTTATGTATAGTAGGATTTTCCTTAGTTTGCGCGCCCGTCATCGGTGTATTATGACATTTATGATGTCATAATGAAAGAGAATATGTATGTAGACAGTGCTGCATTGATTGGTTGATCAATTACTAAAAAAAATGTTTCGGTAGTTATTTGTAACAGGTTGTTTATGTCGCCATCTTTTACTAAGGTGGACATTATTATTTGGATGCAAAAGAAAAATGTTTAAAAAAATCATTTTAATTGTTTTTTCGTACCGCCCGCAGTACTTACCAGCAGAAGTCAATCGCAATCTTGACTTAAAGATAACAAAAGCATAAATGGCTTGTTTTCATATATCGTAAACAATTTTTTCTGCCATAACCTTTCTTGCCAATGTGTCAGTTATAATGTAAATTCCCCATATATTTTCGATGGGAAGCAACCGTATAGTACCGCATGTCCATTTTCTAATGCAGTCATACTAACAACATACCGTTTTGAAGGTTTGTTTCTGAAATATCAAATTTTTAGTCTCGTCTCGCAACTAATAAAGTATTTAAACAATGGTATTACTTCGAATAAACCATGCTGCATGGAAATATGAAAGATGCTCCAGTAATAAAACTGTTCGTGTTTCCGATATGTAAAAGCACACATCTTAAATATTTATAAGATGATATTGTTCTCATCAACACCAGTATGCTACCTGTGTCCATCGTGTTTAATTTTTCGTAGCTTATTTTTGCACTGTCAACTTACTTATACAGGGTGATTCCTATAGTACCTGCCACCGTTTGGGAGCGTATAGGGGGTGCCTAGGGGAGTATTTTGATATAGGACACTTGGGGTCGGAAATCTAAAATAAGGGCGCCAGAACCAAATTTATCTTCTGGAATTTCACGCCTGTATGTAGGCAACCCAACCGACCGACGTTTCGCGCGGAGCGATGCAGAGCGAGTTAGCGCGAGGAAGCGACATGGGAGGGAAGGAGGGAAAACGACAGTCAAAAGCAATAACGTTTACAAGTGTTCAACGTGGCCACCGTTGTTCTCAATGCACTTCCTACATCTAGCCAACTATTATTATACTATTGCCATAGTGTTTATTCACTTGATACGCGTCGTTGCAGACGGGATTTCGTGGGTTTAAACAAAATTCTGATCAAGTGTCAGCCACACATCGCCGCCTGAGATCGCTCCGTGTGCACCGCCGGCCGGTTGGGTTGCCTACCTACAGGCGCGAAATTCCAGAAGGTAAATTTGGCTCTGGCACCCTTATTTTAGATTTCCGACCCCAAGTGTCCTATATCAAAATACTCCCCTACGCACCACCTACACGCTCCCAAACGGTGGCAGGTACTATAGGAATCACCCTGTATATTGTTCCATTTTCAAATAATTTCATCCAAAAAGACACATTGGCGCCCAGTCTCAGATTGCATATTTTTTATATACGCATGTCAAAAATCGACTCTTGATAGTGCAATATCTCCATTAAACCTTTTCTTGGATTATCTTTTTGATATCGGAAAGCAATATCCGCAATAACTTTTCTTAAGGAACTTTTGGACCTATTAAATACGTCTTTCTCGTTTAGAACTTGCAAAAGGGATGTTCTAAAATACAAAGGTAAACTGTTTAAACATTGATATAATATAATCATTGCACAGTTCATATAAACTCCTATCTACATTCAACCATTCAACGTGCGTTTTAACTTACCGTGTTGGATCATGTGGTAGATGAAGTTCCGAATCGCTGCTTGTGTGAAACAATCAACATCGCTTATGGGTTTCTTACATTTCCTTGTTTTTTTAGGACTTCCTAAAAGTTTACCCAAAAGTCACTGTTCGCGGGCTAATATTTAACGTATCCACAACTTTGTGTATTTGCACTTGTTACCTATACGAATTCTTATATTACTAAAGTAACCACTCATCTTTCTGACTGCTGCGAACGGTAAAAATGGACTACGATTATCTCTTTCTCATTCAAAATTATTAGAAACAATTTGCTTACTTTTTCTTGGTAAACCAGATGGAATTTTTGGGTTATGCCATTTTTGACACAGAATATCGCAGAGGCCGTACGGAAGTTATGCTTCTAAAATTGTTTGTTATGAAATTAACTGATTTTCTATCGGCTAATGTAGCAAAACGCGATAAAATAATCAATGAAAACGGTAGCCGACGTGTTGCCATGTAAACGTAAACAACCATAATTGACAGGTAACCTGAAAACAAAAAAAAATCCCTTTTCACTAATGATTTTTAGTTCCATTTTTTAAATAACGCTCAACTTTGCCTCAAGAACCTATATTTTATAAAATACATTGATCAGCCTAACATGAATACGTAATTCTAACGTTTATTGTAGTTTAAAGTGATTTTTTTTATTTTGTTAATACGTTGGCATTACAATCTTCTCCAAAAACAGAATTGATGATGTGCGAGCAACTAAGGAAAATTCTACTTTATAAGTGTTCCATAAACAAATAAGAAAATTTCAGTTATCGCAAATTTATGAATCACCTTAGTTTATTCAAATGACTGCTTTGGGAAGGTTATATCAAAAAACAATAATCTTTGGTAACAATCAAATTTGATATGTATTTTCAAAAAATTTGAGCCTAAGAGATGTTCAGTATTTCTTCAATTTTAGACACAAACATGTGTAGAATAAGAATCCATTTAGGTACTTTGTTTGGGCTCTTTATGTATACTTACCATCATTTATTTCTTCATGTTTTTTTTAAAATTTGTGGTGCTTTAAAAAGTTAAATGTAGTGTTTTTAATATTTATGTTAAGTTTAAATGGGGTTTAATACAACTCGGTTTGACAAACACTCTCACTGCAAGATCAATACTTGGATTTGATGTTCTCTTTGGTTTCTAATTCTTAGGCAAAATTCAAGATACTTTTTTATAACTGAATAATTAGGGGACCAATTCTCAAAATCTGTATTTAAAGCACAGTTGAGGTTTCAAATGGTTCTATGCTGGGTCGCATATGATCGTAATAAATACTACTATTCAGGTACAGTATGTAGGGGGTGCCATATGGCATACAGCCAAGTACATTATACTTAATATTTCACCGCTTATTACATTATCAGCAAAGAAGCATATGATTTCAACTTAATTAATACTATACTAACACAAAGTTTAGTGACATTTTCTCATCAGTCATCACATCATGAACAAGCTGTAACATAATTCCATAGATTTCAGTTTTTTTCACAAATGCAACTAGCATCTCTGATTTATTGTAAGTCGCCCTTTTGCAAGTTTACCGTACCCCGATCTATGCCAATAAATCAATCAAGGTAACAAGAGTATTACCAGCAATTTTATGTTTGAGGGGCTAACATGTTTACAATATTGATATAAAGTGGGTTAGTTAGTTTTTTGCAATTGCAATTGCAATTTTGCAATTATTGGGAGGGGAGGAGGAAGGAGGCTGCATTGGAACTATGTGCTGACTACGCCAATATTATTGATTATAACTGAATAAGATTTCAAATGTAGGCCAGTACCTTACAATTTCTTAGAGAAACAAACAGAGACGATTATCGTAAAATGAAGCAAATTTAATTTGTTTGAACACCAGCAACATGGCCGCCTACAGTTCATTGGCGTCAGGTTAAACAACAACCGTTGGTATATATCATAAATACAAACGTATTTTTACAAATAGAAATGATTTACAGTAATTGTAGAACTCTTGTACAAGACACAAGCGAACCAATATGTTATACATTTATGCATATCTTTTCTGTTCATTATTATTATAGTATTATATAATATGTATGATGGAGGTACGCCACTGGTCAAGCACGGCAAAAAATGCAAACAACTGCTGAAGTAAACAAAACAACACAGTTTTATGCACCAAGAATATGGCCGCCTCACAAAAATTTGCATCAACATGCATTATTGCCCTTGATATGATGTTATCAGTCCTCCTCTTCCATAGCCTAAGTACAATCCTATAACGCTATTAAATTATTTTAAAAGGGGAGCCACCTGATCTCATGGGATATAATATAAGACTTGAATATGAGTTTAATGTTGGTTCTCCTTCAATCGAAATTTGATATGTTTGTAAAGTGATTTTTTACGATTAAATGGAAGTTAGAGCTAATTTGAAAATTCAGCTATTTTATAAATAATATAAGATATAGAAGCATGCATTTTAACTAATGATCAGATGAAAAAGACGTAGGATAATTGCAAAAAACAAGGAACAAAATATCAATGAGTTAGATCAAGTGACAATTTTGAAAAATTTTAAGTTCTGTAAATAATAAAAGGGAAAAAATTACCAGATCACGAACGATGGGTAAAAATAAGTAATAGTATATTTCATTAGGAGTCCGGAAAGCAGGCTTTTTCCGTGCGCGCGTGGCAAGCCGAACACGGGAAGCCATGCAAGCACGGAAAAAGCATTTCTGGACGTGTAATGAACGATATTTTTTATTATACTTCTTTTAAATCGATAACATAAAAAACAACAAACTCGCTAACATTTTTATTTTGTGACAGTTATAGAATATGCGTTTTCATGGTTACTCTCAAATCATTCCAAAGGCGATTTGTTTAATTAGTTTAGTTCAGATAAGATTGACGAAACGTCAAAAAATGTCACAAATTCTCAAAGAAGTTTATCTAAATATTCAAACATCTACGAATTAAAACGCAAAATACTTACATATGAAACATTACAACGCATATAGATTTTCTGAAAATTACTTTACTTCCCTGTAAATTTGTATTTTAAAGCAATATTTTGGGTATTTATGTTCAGCGCACGGAAACAATCAAAGGGATCGGGAAAAGTTTCTCCGTGCGCTAGCCTGGAAAAGGCCAGATACCATTATTTCTAATAATAAGGTAAATAAGGTGATTTCAATGAAGTATAATAAAAATACCATTTTAATTGATACAAATTTTGTATAAAACTAGGTAAATTGATCTTAAATGAGACATTGTGTACACTTACCTTAACTAATACAATTTTTCTATGTGCACATTAACAATTTCATGTTGTTATTAATTTGGGGGATTATAACATATTGATGCAACATCATTTTGGTATGTGTTAATTCATCTATCCATATTTACAAGTTTGAATTAATTGTATAAAAGTATACCAATACCTAACAATTTAGAAACACATACAGAGTATTAAAATTTTAAGTTTGTTTAAAAAATTCGACTGCTCCCTTTTTTGTACCTACTTATCAGTGTGTATTAAGTCAGGCATAGGATTTATGCAAATCTAAAAAACAATAGATCTGCCTCGCTTCCATAAGCAGTACCTACATTTGATAAATTTTTCAAAAAATGTAATCATCCTCCTTTAGGCATTTGTTGACATATGAAACATGCTTTGGGAGTCTGAATTTTTTTTCAAAACGGAAGGCTTCAAAGTTTCTTTTGATTTAAATATCAGAATTCGCACCAGATCTGAAGAACCCTATCTACTGCCGTTCTGTTTATACTTACCCTTATTGTAGATCTCCTGGACAGAATTTTATTAACTCAAAACCGGATCTGTCCAGGGAAACCTGGATATACATATAGTAATCATATATACTTAGCACACTTTATATAAAATAGCCTATGTGATGCATACGTAATATTTTAGGTATTATACAAGGTGGTTCAATTCAAAAGCAAAGTCGGATGAAAATAGAGAAATGTTCGGGCACATTCAATCCGTGGGCTGAACATTCATAATTAAAGTACCTAACTTTCAACAATTTCAAAATTTTTGTAGGTATACTTTGTATATACAACATAAAGACTAATTCATTCTTAGTCCATACTGTATCATATAATATATTGTATATGCTCAATATGTTTAACTATTGGTGGTTGTGGCTTTGTCCTTAATTTCACTGTACTAGAGATTCCCTAACCATCAATAAGTATCTTGAGGAATTTCCTGGATTGGTTCACTTTATATATGTCGATAGAACAACTCACAGAGTGACTACTCCGACCTTAGATTTCACTTCGTCAGAAACGGTCAATCTGACTAAGAAAAAGGTTATTTTTGCTCTAGAATATACTTAACTTAACTTAATAATCAAACACATTTTTGCAGATTTGGTCGATGATTCATTTTTCTCGTAACCATTTGCAAGAAGGTCACCTGTCACTTATGTGGAAAGATACAACTTTTAATTATGCTTACTTTTTATGGTTTGAGGATACATCCGGTACAGCTTTAAAACCAACTATCTTTCCTACAAATGCATCGAAAGCATTACCGCAACCTGGAATATTATGTGGCGATTTTTATCAGTAAGTAAAATGAAATTCATCTTCAAATAGCATAAAGTAAGGATCGTTTTCTTTTTCTGTTGCAGAAAATTGAAGGAAGCGTGTTTTCCAAAAATGTCTCCCACAAAAGTGAGATGTTATGAATTGTTTTGTATTCATTTAGGATTAGCCACCGCATCGTGTGTATTGGAACACACAAGGCGATTGGCAGCTACCATATGGGAACTTCGAGGACACCCCAATCATCCAATTGATCTTTTGTAATTTTATATGTAAGCATTATTGATTGGGTATTACACATAGGTATATAAGTGTTATAAAGCATTGCCATCGTATTTATGTATTTATATCATTCAAAATATGTTGTAGGGCATATCATTATTTATATTATTTAGATTTTAATAACATGAAATCTGTGTATATAATTCAGTATTTGTATGTCATTAAAATATAAGGGCAAAATTGATCGAAAAGAATTTGGAGACTATTTAGATCCTATATGTTTAGATTGTCTTATTTCCTTTGGTTTATGCTCAGATTCCAGAGAAAATGGACAAAAAACATTCATTTCCATTATAAATTATAAAACAAGACAATCTTTGTCTTTTTTACCCAACCACAGACTTCCTTTTTTTAAGAGGTCTGTGTACCGAACCCAACTCATACACTTACAAACTTCTTTGCTCAAACTTGAATTCTAACCAGAGATCTTTTGTATCATAGTGTCAGGATGGCGAGTGTTTGCCTCAAGATAATTGCGCACTTGTCCTAATTTGCAGTGGCGTGAGCGCTAGTGTGTATAATATATCGACGACAATTAATAGTATATTTTTATGTAGGTAAAATGTATAAGTAAACATTAAAAGAACGTGCAATGGAGAGCACAACGCCAGAGGTGTAATCTTCATACGCGTATAGCGTGCTATAAACAGCATGTTATGCACGCTTTTGGTTCTAAAATGGACATATGTTGCATGTTAGTCGAGATTTGTGTTCCACTTTCAATTGCGTCTTTATATCAACTGGACGCTTTGTCTCCTATTTTTCCTTACCACTGTTAGCTATGGCTAGGTGAACATAAGAGCTACTCTGATTTTAGCATGGTAATGTATCTATTAATGACAACCAGAATGCCATTCTTTCAATTGTCTAAGTAATGTGTATTCGCTCTATTAGCGACGCGCCATTTAGATTTTTTTAATTAATTGTATCAATTAATCGCTTGTGGCGTGATATATGTATTCTGACCTTGAGCGCCTGTTTTAATTTCAGCTTTATTTGATTGATTTTGTCTAATTAATTTGTACATGTTCTATGTTGTGTTTAAGCCCAAATTCCGGCCCAGGAGGTATAAGAATTTTGATGCTAAATTCTCTGTTGGTGCGCGGGTCATTAAGTCAACATTGTTTAGATCTACCAATTGGTTTTTCCATAAGTAGTGAAATTTTTTTTACTGCTCCAAGAAAGTGTGCGGTCAGAATTAGGGCAGTACCAATTCGCACTGCTAATCCATCAGTGGAAAGTTATATACATGACAACGTCAAATGTAAAGGCTCTAATTACATTAGGATTAGAGGTAGAGTATGGGTTGCTATTGACAGCAGACTTTACAATCTTTATTATACTTATACATTCCGAGGAAAATAATGACTTATCTGTCACATTTGACATTTGCACAATAATTCATATCTCGCGATTCCCTGAATCATTAGCGCGAAAACAGTAATATAAGCAACATAGAATGTAGTACCTACCCACAATTTGGACTACAAAATTAATATTTACTGAAGTGATATTGAGATAGGTGTGTAATTATATTGTGTAATAATCCGTCTATTGAGAATCTCTTTGTTATCATCAGTCTTCATATAGGTAGGTACCTACCGGGTGAATATTTTAAAACCGAACATAGGCAATTGAATAACGTTTTTTGCAGATTATTGTTGTTCACCAAGTTAACTTATTAGAGGGTTTATAATGACACCAATCAAAAGAAGATTTTTTCAAAAGAGGTTTTTTTGCTCATCTAATGATTTACCAATTAGTATAATATGTTCAGGTGTATTTCTAATTAAGTATTTTATCAAAAATTCGGCAATAAATCCAATTAGCAAAATTATGTTAAGCTATGGAAATTTTCTAACGAATTGAAATAGGTTTTCACACAGACGGAATGGGGCGCTCATTAAAATGGACGGAAAACAAATATGGCGTACTAGAGTAAATATTTCCGCTGTAAACATTGTTTATCTTTTTCCTCAGTGAACCGCATTTTACAATAGCTATTTGTGTATTAAGAGCGCAAAATGATATATTGTCGATTGAAAGAGACAGTTGACGCGCGACGAAGGAGCGCGGCAATCTCTTGAAATCGACAATCAATTTGCGCTCGAATTACACACAAGATTTTTTCTACAATCGATCAGTTCACATATTTCCAGAAATTAAAATTTTTCACTCAAATCATTTTAATCTTATGCCCAAATGAAAGATGTCATTTACTCGTTGTCATTGGATACTCTGAGCAATGCATATTTGATTTATAGTTAATAATTGGGAGAGCGAGCGTTTTTTCTATTTTGTCGCTTATAAGCGACAAAGTGACATTCCTCGAAAAAGATGACGTTTGCGTTGTCAAATACGAGCGCAAATGCCTACTTTGGATATCGATTGTAGAAAAAAAAAATTAAAGCCAGTTGTCATGAACTGATGATTTCGACGTTTGAATCTGCTTTTTGTCTTACTAGTCATGGCTTAACATGATTTTGGTAAGTGGATTTATTGCCGAATTTTTGATAAAATAGTTAGAAATACCTACACCTGACAATGAACTAATTCGTATATCATTAGACGAGGAAAAAATCTTCTTACGATTGGTGTCATAAACTCTCTAAATTAACATGGGGAGCAACTATCTACAAAAAACCTTTTTCCAATGTTAATTCCCTATGTTCGGTTTGGGAATATTTATCCGGTATAGGTATTAAGTCCCTTGCACTGCCTACGTCTTGAACTATTTTTAAGTGGAAGGGTGGTAATACCGTTGAGTGAAGGATTATTAATCAATGGTAATATACATAATATGTACCTACTTGTTTTTATATTACATGGTGAAGGATAGCAGTTACAATTTTAAACAAGTTAAAAAGTAATCGTAAACGATTTACATAAAGCGCATTTCCACTTGCATTCATTTCCCATTTGTAAGATGCAACTTCTGTTAAAATTGTAAAAATCCGGCCACAAATATGAAAGATAGCGTTGCACATGGGCAATCCATTTTTGACGTGCTACTTCAATTTCAGTTTATGAGAAGAATTTCATGTCAATGCTTTTCTAAATAAGAAAGTTGGAACTGCGCATGCGCAAACCTAAATATTAAAACTAATGTTAGATTTTTTTTTCCACGCGCCTAAGTATCAAATTTCACTTAAATAGTTCCATAGATAAAAAAGTTGGTACTGCGCATGCGCAAAATAAAATTTTGAAACTGGCGTTAGATTTTCCTTTATTCCAAGTGGCTATGTATCACATTTTATCTAAATTCTTCCATAAATAAAAAAGTTGGCACTGCGCATGCGCAAAGCCAAATTTTGAAACTGGCGTTTGATTTTCCTTTATCCCAAGTGCCTATGTATCAAATTTCGTTTAAATTCTTACATAAATAAAAAAGTTGGCACTGCGCATGCGCAAAACCAAATTTTGAAATTGGCGTTTGATTTTCCTTTATCCCAAGTGCCTATGTATCAAATTTCGTTAAAATTCTTCCATAAATAAAAAAGTTGGCACTGCGCATGCGCAAAACCAAATTTTGAAATTGGCGTTTGATTTTCCTTTATTCCAAATGCCTATGTATCAAATTTCATTCAAATACTTTTATAAGTAAAAAAGTTTGCAATTCGGTTTATAAATGGTCGAGATGCGAAAAAGGCACTGTGAATTTTGAATCGATTCGATTCAACTTTTGGCATTGCGTATTATATGGCTAAATCTATGCCCATAATGAATTTCATGCAATTCAGTTCATAACTAACGGAGATGTAAAAGCGATCGAACATTTCTAAACAAAGTTATCGTTCACACGGACAGATAGATGGACAAACAGACAAAGGAACAGACGGAGAGACCAACCGGCAGGCGACAGATAGCAATGCAAAATTATAAACGATCTCTAGGATCGTTAATAAACGGCAAAAGTGTAAAATTATAGAACATGTAAAAAAACGGTTTTTTGTTTTTTTTACAATAACTTTTTTTGTAAGCGGTACAGAAAAAATTCCTTCCTTGGTACAAGACTCGACACCATAACGAACCAAATAGCGAAAAAAGTAGAACAATAGCTCTTAAGATAAAGAACTAGTAGCGTTGCAAAGTTAGCGGACGGACAAAGTGGCCACAATAGCGCATTTTTTTTATTTTTGTGGAAATGCGCTAAAAATGAAGGTTATATTTCTACGAGTAAATTTCATGTTGCAGGAGTCTGGAAACCAAATTCTGTCGTTGATATTACTAGTATTTGTCTCAGCGTCTTTGCCGAGAAACAAAATTAAAGAACACATAGTATGAAACTATTTGGGACATGACAACATTTACGCATTGCTTGACAGAGAAATGTTTTTGTCCCCTTTATATTATTTTTTTCACTACATTTGTAACAGATTGTGTAATCCTTATTACTGGCTATCATGACCGATGAACTGATAAAAAAGTTGAACGAAAAAAACTGAATTGTTGAAAACATGTTTGTTTAATATTTGTAATAAAGTAGTTTAACATAGTTTGAATGAAAGGAAAACATTGTATAAACATAAAAGATAAACCAGTACTATTTCTTTTCAAAATTTTGTCGTTTTGTAACAAAGGAATAAGAAATTTCCTGGACATGCAAAATGTTCTCTTCATTAGTATCAATCGCGGCACTTCTCGTATTATACTTAGATGGTGTTACTGGGTTTACATTTTTTCGTGCTTTCCCTTTCCTTTTTTTGTTATTTTCTAGTACACTGTCACTCACTTGAGACGAGTCTGTAATGGAACAATCGCCATCTAAGCTATCGTCAATTTCAATCGAATTATTTGCTTTATCACCATGATTTAGCATAACTTGACGTCTAAGGTTCTTTACTTCTTCTTCCATCTTAAACAACTGCTCTTCTTTGTCAATCAATTCCTCCAACAAAACCTTCATATGGCCTTGCAAACCTTCCTGAATTTTTTGTACAAATTCGTGACTTTCGAGATTATCCTTATCTATGCCCTTTATCACTTTGGATAAAATATTTGGCATCGGTTCTGGTATTTTATATGAATACTTGGGCAGCGTTAAATTTTCAACTTGTACTGGTACGCTCTCGTATTTGCCCATGTGGTATCTTAAAAATGTTTGAGTAAATGAATAGGTTGCTTTAGTATTCGAACTATTCATAGTTAACAAACAAGTGGTGAAAGTAGGTAACGGTATCTTCAATAATGCAGCGACTTGCTTATGGACTATCTTCTCACGTACGGTCAATTTCGGTGGAGATATTTGCTTTTGTTTAAATAAATACCATCCGACTACTTTATCCTTTTCACTACCTACTATACTGTTCAATTTTGTCATATCTAATAGACCAGCGGCATTATAAAAATAAAATTGACGTGGGCACGGTATCACGGATTTAATTTTTATGATATTCTGTTTATTCACCACTGTGTGTTCTGCATCCGTAACATGATTGGTTTCTTTACTGATAAACTCTCCTAACAGAAGTCCTTCCTACAAGGCAAGTAAATTATTCTTCACACCTTAAAAGTGATAGATACTTACTTGATTTGAATCACATTTCACATTTTCGTAAGAAATAAAGGAAAACGCAATTCCCGATATAGATACTGAGACGGTTTCAGTCATACTTATTTCGTCAAAATCGTCAAGACAAATAACAGAGTTTCTAATCGCCGCGTTTAATTAGTATTTGTTTTTGTCCTGTCAGTTCGGCGGTCAACAGGTAAGGTTAGTTACTGATCAACCACATCCATGGAAAATCTCGGTGGCTGTGGTACGGTACGTCAAATTCATAGCTACTATAGAATAGCAATAGAGCAGAGCTTTGAAATTATAATCAAAGCCCAACAGGGAATAGTATTTAAAATGTATTGTGTGTTGCCTAACAAATTTTATTGTTTTTTCTCAATTTTATTGGCGTACGCTACGCCTATCCCAGAGTTGCCAAATTTTTAGTGATTGCTTGTATTACTTACTTAGGTATCGATTATTCCTTGAAATTTATGAAGATATTTAATTCCATTCTACGCTTATGGCACAATTTATTATAAGGTCCGAACGCTTGTTGGTTTGCTTCATTAAGTGCGAAGAACAATAAGCCGTTTTTTGAGCGGTAAATAATAGAATTTTTACTGTGTATTCCCAGTAACGGCGAGTAATAAGCTCGCGTTGATTACGTCTCTGCCCTTTGTACACACTGTCCGTCGCCCTACCCGTCGACCTCGACGGACGTGTGGAAAAGTCGACCGAACTAGATCGTTTAGTTAGAGAAGGTTAGAGGAAGTAGTCTAACGAACGATTTTTATTTCCGACTTGCGGGGAAATAAACGAACATTTTTTGAAAAAAAAATAGGCCAATAGACGTTTTATAGCATTTATTGTACAAATAATAAGACAATGAAAGATTCCCCGAAAAAATGTTGAAATCACTTTTTAATTTTTGCCGGCCAAACTATAAACAATATAATAAATCCAAAATAAACGGCCCCTATAGTTGTGATCGAACGGTTCAAATCAGTTAAACCAACTCAATCCCACCTCTTTAAAAATGGTTTCTTTGCGATAACTGAAAAACTACTTGGTCGATTTGGACAATATTTTTTACCTGATGTTTGTTTTTCTGGGGGCATAAGGATTATTGCATTGTATATTAACTTTTAAGAAACAACTCAGCGTAAGACATCAATACAAAATTAAAGCAAACAAAATTTCCTGTAAAATAATCGCTATGCTCATCCCATAAAATTCAATTTGCTAGTGCATTTTAGGAAATATGTTGTCTACTTTAATTTGATTGTAGGAGACGATCTAAAAAGGATGGATAATAACAAATTTAATTTACATTTTTACAATTGTACCTGTTATTGGTTATTCAATTAAATAGTTATTACTGTCTATTCAATAGATGCCAACTAAACAGGAAAATAGGTACCAGTACTGACTAATGAATCGTTGCTGATTTCTTTTATAGGTACTTAAGTAATTATAAATTCAATGGTAATGTTTTCTAATTATATCATGTCCACATTTTATACAGCCAATAAGAAAGAAAATTAAATGTAACAACCGCACAAATATTTTAAACCGAAATTCTATAAAGAAGTCTGTAAATTTTCAATACGCGGCAATATTTAAAGAGGCGGTTAGTTCTGGCATTAGACTATGAAAGAAAGGGGACTGATGTAAGATGTTTATAAAATACAATGATACTATCATGGGCAATGCTGCACGTTGAAGCCTGGGGCGGCCATATTTTCGGAGCCAAAGTTTGTTTAATTTTTCATTTTCGTGATTACGCGATCCTTTGCGAAATGTGCGATTAAAAATATTATTGGACCATGGTAGGTACATTGTAGTAATAACCAAAAAACACACAAAAGTATATCGTTTCACACGTATAAATTATAGGTTAGTTTTCGGTGAAATAACAAACAAATGTGGGCTTCACTTAATGATCATTAATAACTGTATTCGTTTCAAGTGAATTAACTTAAATCAGTTGAAGTGATTGCACTTTGTTTTTTTCGTTTACAATCAGTTCCCCCACTACAATACTGACCAAGTGAACAGAAATCACTATTATGTGATTGCGGGGAAAAGTTGGTACAGTACTTCAATTAAGATTAACATAACCTCAGAAAACTGGAATCATAACCTCCCAGGCTGTTTGTTTATTTTTTATCGCACATTTAAGAACTGTTTATGTGTAGTGTACGTGTACCTTGTCAAATACTCTCTGAATCAGTTTCCTATACAAATAAAGTGCATACCCTTTGGTTCAACGTGTAATGAAATCGAATGAAATGTGTGTTCACTATTCGCAGTGTTGGGCATTTTTCAAAAAATTGTAATGGGTAATGGCCCATTTTATTGATTCTATCACATTTTTGTTTCATTTTACTTAAATTTTCATAATTAATTTATAACAAAAAACTGGAAACTTCTCCATTGTCGACGATGTGGTCGCTGTCGGCGTAGTGTCCCTAGTAATTTTTTTTGCGAATAGTCGGCGTTGTGGGCACGTTCGGTCTAGTGTCCCTTGCACACTTGTCGGCGATGTGGGCATGGTCGGCGTAGTGTCCCTTATACACTTGTCGGCGATGTGGGCACGGTCGGCGTAGTGTCCGTCGGCGAAGTGGGCATGGTCGGCGTTGTGTCCCTTGTACACTTGTCGGCGATGTGGGCATGGTCGGCGTTGTGTCCCTTGTCCACTTGTCGGCGATGTGGGCATTGTCGGCGTAGTGTCCATCGGCGTAGTGTCCCTAGTCGGCGATATGGACCATCCAAAAATCGGGTCGGCGATGTGGGCATTCGGCGTAGTGTCCTAGACCCTTTTGAACTTCAATAGTTCCATTGAATAAAGCTCTTTATTCAATGATAGTACCTATTACATATTAGCATTGAATAATAAATCTGATTTATTATTCAATGATATTTTAGTTTAGTCAGTTTAGTGTAATGTGTAATAATTGACCTATACAGGGTGATTCAAATTCAAAGGCCACCATGGGGATCTCGGGAACGGTAAGAGATAGGTAGAGGTAGTTTACATTTGACAAAGTTACCCTTGATGGTAACATCATCTATTTTTAATAAGAAATAACATTAATTTGTAAAAACACAAGAAACTACTTACGTACGTTACTTAAGACAAAGGCAAAAAAGATATTTTACAAGCATTAAAAAAATTGATGTGTACATTTTTGAAATCAGAAAAAAATTCTCTATCAAATGACACAAAAAGTAAAAATTACTTCCATAAGAAACAAAGTTGATGATAGTTAACCGGAGACGAAACGTCAAACTTCAAATTTAAAAGTAGCATCTTGTAGAGGGAAAAAAGTGGCCATAATAATGTGTCATTTATTATTAAATATCTTTGTAAACAACTATTAACTTCAGTAAAAAACAAAAACGATTTTCAAAATCTCGTTTTTTCCGGATATCTCCGAAAGTAGTCAGAATTTTCAGTTTCAAAACTGTTTTTGTTAAGCATCAAAATACACAACTTTGCCAAATTTACCACCTACCTATCTCTTACAGTTCCCGAGATGCCCATGGTGCAGTGCCGGATTTAGGGTTTCTGCCGCTGTGGGCAAACATTTTTTGCCGCCCTTGACATATCACTATATCACCATTATTACAAGGTGGGAAAAGTAAGGCATTCATTGGCTATATTTGCAATGCAATGAATGTACTAACAGATTTTATTTTTGCTTCATTTCATTTACCGATTCACCGTTTACCTAAAAAATTTGAACGCATTTTAATTTTTATGTTTTTCTCCAAATTTGCCGCCCTTACAATTTTGCCGCTGTGGGCAATTGCCCACGTTTGCCCCTTATATAAATACGGCACTGCCATGGTGGCCCTCGAATTTGAATCAGCCTGTATATTACTAATTTACAAAGGACCATCCCTCGAATGTAAGACATGGGGAACAAATGTATATTTAGGTATAAACGGCTAAAAAATTAAAAAAAAATCGGTAGATATACCGCATGTCCCCGGATTGACCTTTACAAGAAGAAAAACTTTTACTATACTTTTTGACAAAAATACATTCTCCATAAAAGCTTTTGCTTGTTCTAATTCGAAATTTCCCTACCGTTTCAGAGAAAAATACAAAAAAAACGAAAATATGGTTGAACTTTTTCCAAGTCCTAAAAGTCAAAACGCGTCTCTACTGTAATAACACTTCGTTAGTTACAAAGTCTTCGTTACCTGTTATTTGAATAGGCACTAGGATCGTTTTATAAGTATAACCACAGACAACATATACTTATGTTGTCTGTGGTATAACACACTTCGTAATGACATTGAATAAAAACCTCTTTATTCAATGGTAACAATGAAAAAGAATTGAATTTCCAAAGGTGTTTTCTTTAAAATGTCGGAATCAAGAGTTTTACTGAAGGCCCTTCCAAACAAAAAGCCCCTGTCGCCACTTGTGAACCAATTTTACGATCTTAATTTTGAAAGTCCCCCATGCCAATAATTACGCGATTTTTACTTCATACGTTACAAGCGGTTCATTATTCTCCTCAAGTTATGTGTGGTAGAGCGCTAATTATAATTTTGTTAACCTAGCAGTCTGTAAGGAGCCGTGAACGACCTTGCGTTTGTGTTTTGTATTTTCTTGTCGTGTGGTTATGCAAATCAAATTGCATTTTTTTTAAAGCTCCCTCTGTGTTGTTTGGGGCCCACTTAAAGAGAGTATAATGATTTAAATATTTGTATAGAAAACTGCTGTAGTTACGCTATTCATTATTAGGTACCAGCACATTCTAACGAAAAAAACTTTGTCCTTTACTATGGGTACTTCTCTTTTCAGGCAATCCCAGCCTTAAGGGGGTTCTAAATAGAAAGTCGGCAACACATCATACACCCATAAGAGCAATGTTAACTTATTTCCCAAAAAAAAAATTTATTTGAAATGTTGAAGAAACGGACAAAACGTCTTTTTGGTGTATACATGTGTCTGAATGTTACAATAGAACGTTTTTTTAAAAACGAAGCATGTGTTAATAGATATGATTTTTTGTGTGGCGATTTCGAATTTTCAATATAATCAATCACAGATATCATTATTATTAAATAATCTTCTATTATAACACAGTACGTGCAGTGTATAAAAGTTTAAACCACCGCGCACGTTGTAGAATTATAAACTAGTGCCAAAATATTGGGAAAAACGGAAGAAATCGATGGAAATGTTTCATGTCAATAAGGTTGAAAATCCACTGCAACACAATATAGGTATCTCTTTTCTTTCTAATGATCCGCGGCAGGTATAAATTGCCCGAGGACTTGGTGTAATTAGTGGATAATTTAAACCACTAACAAAATAAATTTACCTTGTATATACCCGAGGCTATTTGTACTACATTTATGCAGAACCTTTGAATGTCTGCGGGGAAGCGGAATGGACCGGAACGAATGTTATTCCGGGTTCCGGTTGGTAAAAAATATTACATATAGTTTCGTGTCGTGGAAAAATTTTGTACGCCGTTCCCGTTCATGAAGCGACCGTGTGGTCAGATCCTCCCCCCGAAAAAAAAATTGCACATAATCCTACATAATGGAAATTATTCCCTAACTTCCAATCGAATCGAAATGTAACAAATCGAATCGGAATGTTTAGTCAAATCGGAATTGTTTGCCTAATAATTCCGATTTTACTAAACATTCCGATTCGATTTGTTACATTTCGATTCCTTTAGAGTTAGGGAATAACCCTCATTGTTGGTTTATTTTTTCTTAGTGTGGTAAATATCACATCTGGAAAGGATTATACGTTCTCCAGATCGTACCAGCACACGGAACCCAGCAGAATTCGCTTTGTCTCTACACAAAGGGAAACAATAGATTCCACAAAGCGGAACTCTGTAACTGATTTTTTAATGTTTTGGAGCTTTCTCTTTAACCTTTGAAAGGCAGTAAATAATGTTTATTCTTCCAAAATTTTAAATTTGGAATATTTTTCCTCCAAAGCGTAACCATTATGTTTACTATGCCCCCCCCCCCTTCCTAAACCTCCTGGGGATGGGCTGATGCTCGCGTTCCGGTTCTCGAAAATTTCCATTCCGAGCACTCCAGGGAATCGTTATTCGCGGTACCCCATTATTGTCATCGCCAATGCAATTTTATAAATATGGGACAAGTGACGCAATTATTTTATTGAAAACATACGGTTTGGTGTTTCACCATTGTAAAACATGTCACTAATGGTACTTTTATTTGAAAGATAAATTTTAATACAATTTTACATATAAACTTAAATATTAGGTAAATAAAAAACGAACAAGCAGGTTTGCATTTCCGAAAAAGTATTTAATTTACCATGTGTACCGTCCTAATGTCCATATTACGGCATCGCCTTGAATCCACTAATTCTGGCAATAATGACTGCATGTAAAATTCTTGCAGCTTTTTTTCCATATGTTGTGTCCAAAAGATGTCATCCCTATAAGAATGTAAGTGCATGAGTATTTCGCTAGACATATTTTGTAGGTAACATACCTTCTTATTTCCTCAACATGGATTCCCGCTGTTGTATAAACTATAAAATAACAGTTGCTTCTCTTGGTGATGTGCATAATGCCTTGGAGTTGATAGTAATAATTATGACTCCTTTTTAGCATAATTCTATTGTTTTCCTCATCTAAAACACAATAGTCAATTAATTTTAACATACATGCCTCAACAGGATCGTGGTCGCCACTTTTCAAGGAACTCTTAATTTCAACTATACTGTCTTCCCCAACTAAACCGTCAGGAGAACAAGCCAAATACGGTTTTTCTTCATCGACGATGAGACCGCATCTGGTTACCTTTACTTGATATAGGCGTTCAAAGTGCTCAATGCCATTTACTTCGCTCTCCAATCCAAATTGTGTGTATTTGTTTCCTCTAAAAGAACTATACAGTAAGTGTGTTACAGTTTTAGCTGTGGAAGTTGTCTTGCGTAATTTGCAAACTTTCCCAAAATTAGAAGCTGTTATTCTTTTTTTACGTTCAATAATCCATAAATCGCTTTTTGATTGGTTTATTGTATCACGCTCAACATCTCTTCTGTTTAAGTTCTTCAAATCTTTTAGAAATTGGGCTGATTTTAGTTCATATTCTTCCAAGGATAGGTCAGGGATTGCAATTTCGTCCACCATACCGTAATGTTGATCAGCGGTCTGAAACGCTCTTTTCTTGATATGATCTAAAACAAAAAGAAATAATTACAAATAAAAGACGCGGAAAGGGGGCGAGTGATTGTGATAAACATACTTACGTTTTCTAGATCTGTTGTTGTACCGATGTAGTTGGGCGTCTAGGAAGATTTGTGTGTAATGTCCTGGTGGTCTTCCACATAGCTGCTTATGTAAAACGCCTAATAAATTACGTTGTTTGCAATTGTAGGATATGGCCGCCAGTTCACACCTTAATTGGTAGGAATTTTTGAGTGAAAAGTTTATTCTTTTACCTCCTACAAGTTTAGCTATGATGGAATTATAAGTTTCCGCAGGATTATTGTCTGTATCATACAGTAAACTAGAGGCGTGATCCGCAAGTCGTTGTATAATGGTATTAATTCCACCTAGGATCCCGTTTTGGGTATATATATCAACTAAATCATCCTAAAAATAAGAAAACACCTTTAGTATGGAATTAATAAATAGCAAATCAGAAACATTACCTTATTCTCATCTGAACCTTTGCAAAAGTAATCTTTGCAATGTACATGGCGGCCAAAGATATGGTAGGGACTATTCAATATATCCTTCTTTAAATTGTCAATCTTGTCATCAAGTGCATTATTTTCGGATTTCCTGTATGCGATAGCCCTTATAACTGCATTGCGGAAGCGACCTAGCATTGATGGATTTGACACATACTCTCTGTGAGGTTTTGAGTATTTGGTGTCTTTACTCAAATCGCTGAGTTTATTTATGAAGTTTCGAAGTAAATGATTGCGACATTCAATTTTTTTTATGTAAAACGATGGACCGTATGGTGCGATTTCAACTAAATGTTTGTAAACGCTACTGTCGCCATCCCCAATTAGTTTTCCATATATAAGATTGTGGCGCGTTATGGAATTTTTAAAACCTTCACCTACAATGGCTGATTCCATGGCTGTAGACGTCTTAGACCAGTTTCGAAAACAATCATGGTCTTCTTCTTTACGCCCTCTAGCACATAAGAAGCAGTACTTATTTTTGACACCCATATGCAAAATTTTCTTTGTTTTGGCTCCAATGATAGATGCCTATAACAATGATTGGGTTATGCTTTGAATAGATAACGTATTCTTATAAACTTACCACTCCTGAAAGGGCAGAATAATTTTTACGATAAGATCGCTTTGCCCATGCACCGTCAGCTATAACGCCAATGACTGGTATACCATCTTTCATTTCATCGGCAAGCTCAGCTTCTTCTTTTGCAGCGACAGTCATCAATTGTTGATTTAATGCATGTACAGAAGGGTATATGGCATTGTGATTTTTTAAATAGGTCACGTTTGACATTTGCGGTATATCCATGGCTGCAAGCAGCTCTGCTAATTGACTGTATCCAATTCCAATAGATAAGGACCCAATAATACCAGCTTGATTTGTGGAATGAAATGTTGCACTACCACCGCAACTTCTTACGGAATCTATTTTCCCACACACTTTACATTTAAACGTAAATATGCTTTCTAAGCCTTCAATTTTTTCCGATTGGATGTCCATGTCGAAGAAAGAGCAACCAAAGCCATCATGTCGTAGAGCTCTAAGAGATGCCAAAAAATGACCAATCTCTACAATTCGGCGACCAGATAAAAATAAGGTATCTTTTTGCTCGCAATGAGGTTCTGTTTCTAGATCACTTTCATAAAATGACATTTCCGAACCGTGTTCGTCTTCATCATTGGTTCCACTGCCTGCTTCATGATTGACGTCTGATAAATGTTCTTCACATTGAACCATGCAATTAGGTTTGTCATCTTCTTCTATACTACTAACAACATTCATTGCCATTTTGGTTAACTTCCTGAAACAACACAAACCGTATAAGTATAGGTATACGTAGCATGTAAGATAAAATTAGAACATGTTCAATTATTTAAAAAAACTAACATAAAAAATTTGTACTTACGCTTCTCGGGCTTTCTGCAATATCACCTTCCTGCTCCGTTTCTTGGTGGTGAAACTTTTTCTTGCTTTAGGCATTTTACCACAATACACACTTTAGTACGTTTGATATAACGCAAAAGTAAGTAAACAATATTTGAAAATCGCTAGGGAAGTTCTTTTATATGAAGTAGAGACGTAATTATATCATTATTATGCAATTAGTTTTTGAGATGCTCATTATTTTGTGTACAATATATCTATTTTTGATAATGTTTTTCAATATCGTAATGAGTAATTATAGGTGATTACAGGTGAAATCATAAGTTACATTATCGATAATAAATTATTTTATGTTTCCTATGTAATGACATTATTTACACAATTATTGCAAAATCTCCTAGAATTTGAAAATAAACATAATTACAACAAATGCAGGTATAGCGTTAAATATTTATAGAATTTTCCTGAATTGACAGTGATTATGTAAATTAGGTAAATATAATAAACCCTCATTAACTCAACAATGAGAAGGTACCTGTGACCTTCTTGCTGCAATTGGTAATGTGTGTTGCATAGCCTTAAATACAGTAAGGCGCAATCTTAAATTTTTGCAAGTGTTTAGAGGCGCCTTAAAGGTCAATTTCGTAGCCTATAATAATTTACGGAATGCTTATGGAATAGATATGGTATGGAAACGTTATGTATAGTGAGAATCAGCCTTTATGTTCTAGTGCGGCTGTTTAGAGAATTTTCTCAACAGCCTCACTTATTCTAACTGCCAGGCGGGGACGCCTTGCAGACAGCTATTTTGAACAATTATTATTTATAAAATATAACGATTGAATACTACTGATTTTTCTTTAATCTAAAATGCTATAAAGTAATGGGTAAGTAACTGTAATGGATAATTGTAATAGAATCGATAAAATTGAGTAATAGGTAATGGGTAATGGGATTACAAAATTTCTTAAGTGTGTAATTGGTAATGGATAATTCCATTACTCTACCTTTGTAATTTGCCCATCACTGACTATTAGCTAATGAAGTCACACAAAGTATACACGAAATAAATAGCTTTTTTATGAACTTTTGATCGCTTCCTTTAGTAACGCAAAATATGTAAATAATTCACACAAGCGTAACATTGAAGGAGTTCGGGAAATTTTCAATTTTTATCAGAATTTTTTTATAAACGAATTACAATTTTTGTACATTTCTGCCGAGGCCCCTTTTAAGTCGGGGCCCGTCCTCATTGCGTACCTTTGCGACATTGTAGCTACGCCACTGGCAATTAGTAGTAATCCCTCACGTGTCTGCAGTATAAGACCAGTACTAAGGTATACTTTTAAAGTATACCAGAATATTCCTATACTGATTACTGATTAGGTAGTAATTAGGTAAGTAATAAATAAACCGATACAGCGAAATATCGAATGGATCCTCGGTATTATAATTAATTTTAACAACAATTTATTTTAATCTTACAAAATACATTTTATAGTTAACAATTGTACATCAAATTCATGTCTTGGGCATTGAGATAATGCTCTTATTCTTGTTCCCAACGATCTCAGTGCATTTTGACATGTTTTGATCAAAATCCATGAGGTCACCAAAAATAGATTAAATTCAGGTTTTGGCCATTAAGATAATTCTCTTGGTCTTTTTCCTAATGATCTTTGTGCATAAATAACGATTTTGACATGTTTAGATCAAAATCCATGTAACTTCAGAAAAATAATTTAACACTTTGAATCACACACATCCGGTTATCAAATGTGCACGTGATGTAGTCTTTCAGCATCAAGATAATGCTTTTTAAAGCTTGTACAACCTCAAATTCATGTGTAAAGAATAATTTTGAGTACATTTTGTTCTAAAAGGCACATTACACTATCATACTTCTCATGTGATTTGTCATATGATAAGTAACAAGCATTTAGATTTGTGTTTACACTATACTATTTTTGGTATTATGGCTGTCATAAGACAAATCATAAGGAAATAATATGGAAATAATACGTAAATCGTGGAATAGGGATGTATCTATTTCTGCATGACAAATGACATGACTTATTTTAAATATCCAAGTGATCCCGCCCTTTTATGGTGACTTTTCGCATTTTGCTGTTGTACTTATCTGAAAAAGCTGAATACTTGAGTAAACCAGTAAAGTTTTGATTATATCATTGATTATAGGTGTGTATAATCAATGATTATAGGTATATTAGTTACTAATGAAAGAATAAATTACATAAATAATAAATCGAGCAATAAATATTTACGAGTATATTGGTATTTGGTTGTTTGGTTGTAGTGGTGTTTTCAGACACACATTGTCAAATAGTGTCTTGATTGGTAATTAACCCTTCAAATAAGGGTACACTCATCCTTAATGTCGACCAAGGGGACGACTCTGTTTGCTTTGTTAATGAAACGCATAACGGAGAAATTATTTTTAAAATAATTGTTAAACTTTTTTCGTTAAAAATGTACTATGATTTTTGAGGCACTTTAGAAGTTCACCTGTTTGTGCTTTACAGGTGATTTTTTTGAGTTCTAAGTTAGCCTGAAGGTACTTTTTTGTTGAATACTTATTGTGATAATTAGCGATTTATTTTAATACAGAAGTTAACCGCACAAAATTGCTTATTTGCCAATTTATTTAAAATTTTGCGGGATTCCGCAAATACCGGGTTCCCGCGGGATTAACATCTAACGATCCCGCAAATACCGGGATTGAGATTTTGCTGCGGGATTGCATTCCCTAGTTGTAACTTTTAAACTAGTAGCCCAATCTTGGAACTGTTTGAAATTATGGATTCTACAGGCCACGTTCTATAAGAAAAATTTTTTTCCGGGTCGATCTGAGACAATTTTTTTTTCGGGGCAAAAAAAAGGCAGTGTATAACCTTCCTTTTTTCCAAAAATCGACTGCACCAAAATTTCTCGGGAAAACACTTTTTCTTATTAATTTTGGTGCGTAGAATCCAAAACAATTCGTACTTTTTCGATCAGACTTCTCAATCAAAAGTTATAGACTAGAAACCAATTTCGAAAGAAAATTCAGAGGGCTGTAACTTTTGAACTAGTAGCCCAATCTTAGAACTGTTTGAAATTATGGATTCTACAGGCTACGTTCTATAAGAAAATTTTTTTCCCAGGACGATCTGAGACAATTTTTTTTTTCGGGGCAAAAAAGGGCAGTGTATAACCTTCCTTTTTTCCAAAAATCGACTGCACCAACATTTCTCGAGAAAACACTTCTTCTTATTAATTTTGGTGCGTAGAATCCAAAACAATTCGTACTTTTTCGATCAGACTTCTCAATCAAAAGTTATAGACTAGAAACCATAATTTCGAAAGAAAATTCAAAGGGCTGGTAACTTTTGAACAAGTAGCCCAATCTTGGAACTTGGAACATTTTAATTTAGAGAATATATATATAGGTTTCGTAACTTCTTGTATTAAAGTCATATGCAAGACCTGTTAAGTGTAAAGTAAAACATTAAAACTCATACGAAAAATATGTTGGTATTAAATATCATATAACATATCATATAAAAAATCATGTGAGATATATTATAGTGTAAAGGTACCTTTAAGAGGTGTTTCAGTTTCCATATTATCGCAAAAGTATTAATGTTAATTATTTAACAATATGGATAATTATTGTATCGTGCTTACACGAAGGTTATGAGATAAAATCTAATTTTTCATAATTTGCGGAAGATACAACAATGACATTCTACCCAACGTAATAATTATTGCTTTACAACGTCTCATAAAGCATAATCTAAATTAAGGGAAAATTATGTGCTTATTTCGTCTAGTTTTACTTAGCAAATTGCCAATAAGTTTATTTTAAGCCGCACTTTATTGGAATGCCTTTATAGTTGGTGTAGTTGCCTCATTACATCTGGGTAAATAGAACTTAATCAATTGGTTAATTTTTTTTAGTGTGATAACTCTTAACCCATGATATTCCATTTGTACTGATTGCTGCCTGTTTCAGTGCTGCATCGTACAACAACATAGACTTACATAAATTTTGTGAAAATTATGGGGCGCTTCGAAGTAGAGCAATGGGTATGTATCTACTTATTTATGTCATAACATACCATTAAAAATGAGTACCAAAGACAATTTCCACGAATTAACATCTGATGGTGCGTAATATTTATTATAGGTATTTAGGTACATCTGTGATAATACTAAATGTTTACCCTTGTGTAAACGTTTTTGCCAATTTTATGGCACGTGAGTCCCAGAAATAGTATGAAAATTATGAATTGCCTTTACACTCACTACGATGGATAAGTTGCCAAATCTATTTCATTTGCCATACGTCAGCGCTCTGCATTTTCTCCCCCCAAAAGCGCTTATGGAGTTTCTAATGTAAGCATATTACGAAGTTTTGGGAATAGATCCTATTCTATTTTGTTCTATACTCGATTATTTTAAACACAGTTTATCCAAGGGCGAGAAAGGTCACAATATTCGCCGACATTTTTACGCATTCTATATATGAATAACAGATTGTGTATCTAGTCATTGATTATATGTTCTATATAATCAATGATCTAGTATAGTAAAAGCAATACATTCCAGGATGACAATGTGCATCTACATTGTTGAGGCCAACAAGTTTTGGAGTCCGGGAATTAGTGCAGCGGAGAGCCGGCGCTAACTCGCTTATTTGAGGTAGTTTTTTTTTTCGGAGTAGAAAGAATTGGGACCCACACCATTTTGTTCAGAAATGTTTGAACCTTCAGAATCTCGTTTTACGACACGTACGAAATATGTAAAAACTGTGAACTGAAGTACGCAGTATTCAGTGAAAAAGATATTAATAATAGTGTGTTAGACGTGTTTTTTGTTATGGCCCTTTTAAACTGTATGCATGTGGTCCTTTCTTGTGAACACAATAACAGTTAAACTATTCATTTTATAATTTTTCTAAATTTGCACTTTTCTCAGAAAATAAGCCTCATAGCGAAAAATATTAAATATAAAAAAAAGGTGCCTTGATGAGTTGTACAAAAAAGTCTGAAACATTTTTTGCGTCAGACACAAAATAAAGAGGCCAGACGTAAATATAGTCGGAAAATCAGCAGTTTTATTAAAATTTTACATATTTGACCGCCCCTCTCCTGACAGACATGTATCCCGATGTATCAGGATACTTTATACAAAAAATCAGCCATCTAATTATGCTTTGGGCGAAATATAAATTTATCCGGTCGGGGGAGTGTTGTTCCAAATCGTGGCCGAGCAAATACGATTTTTCCACATTTTAC